GATGGCGATGATGATGATTATGATAATGATGAGAAGGATGATGATGAGGATAATGATAAGGATGATGATGATGAGGAGGAGGAGGATGATGAGTTTGGTAATGGCCAAAATAATGAGAGTGATGATATTTGGGAAAAACTCTGTAGGTCCTGTGGGAAGTTTGCAAGCTTCGGTTGAACCAACAACAACAGCAGCAGCAGCAACAACAACAACAGCAACTGCAGCAACAATAGCAACAGCAGCAACAACAGCAACAACGACATGGCAACATGATAAATAATAAAACAACAACAACGATAACAACAACAACAACATCATCTTATAATAACAACAAAATAGTATTAACAATGATTAAATCATTAATGATAACAACTTTCGGTGATAAAAGTAAAAGTTGTCACAACAATAAAGTACTGCAAAATGTAACACGTTAAAGGCTCTGGTGATTAAATATTCTTTATTATCGCTGCTTAGTAAAATGCATCACATGTAATTTGGTGGACACGAGAGTGGTCGCAGTGGTAATCAAATTTGTAAATGTTGTAGCTCTTGTGGTAGCTTTTGTCGCTTTTTGTATTATTAGTAATGTAAATGCAAAAGTAGTCATAGTAATACTGGCAATTTTCTTAATGTGAATTTTCAAGTGGTCGTAGTAGTAGTTTTAGTAGTAGTAGTAGTAATAGTAGTAGTAGTAGTAGCAGTAGCAGTGTTAATAGTGAAAGTTTCAGAAGTAGGTTTTTAATATTAGAAGCGGTTCTACTATTTTTTGAAGTATCAATATAATTAAAAAAAAACTAAGAGCGAGGTTAGTAATAGTAGTAATGGCAGGCAGCAGCAATAGTTATAGTGATAGTAGTAGTAATAGTAGTAGTAGTATTAGTAGTAGTAGTAGTAGTAGTAGTAGTAGTAGTAGTAGTAGTAGTAGTAGTAGTAGTAGTAGTAGTATTAGTAGTAGTAGTAGTATTAGTAGGACAAGTTGTAAAAGTTTTTTTTGTAGTAAAAGTAGTAGTATATATGGTGGTAGTATTTTTTCGAAGCAGTATCAGTAGTACAGTTGCCTTATATTTAGCAACTTACATCAATGTTTTAATTACATCCGATCAATGTTTTAATTATAGTTGAAAGTTCAAATCATAACTATCTGATAAAAGAGGATAATTTTTAAACGTTAAATAAAAACTTTTTAAATAAATTATTGACATTGTTTATTTTCATGAATGATTTTTAAATGTTTCGACACCAATAAAAACTCTGTAAAACTGAATACGTGTAAAACTGCGTATTATAAACTGCGCAATAATATGCAGGGATCACTTGGCGTTCGAATCCAGTGACTGACCAAGACCAAGCGCCTTTTCCATTAGGCTGTACCTTTTGTAGCATGATATACTGTACCAATATTATCGACAACATTCTAAATAATATCACCATTTTCAATTTGATTATTAAAGTCGTTATCACATTTGTTCACGTGACATCACCATCATCCCATATACAATATATTCTTAAAACCATCTTCATCATCGTCGTCGTTACTATCATCATCATTATAATCACCGTCGTCATCATCATCTTCATCATCGTCGTCGTCATCGTCATCTTCATCTGGATGAAACAGTTTAATTTGTTGACTTGCACATTCTAGCAAGTTTTGTTTTTGCACAGTATGTGTGTGCGTCATTGTGTGTGTATGTGTAATTGCGTGTGTATGTGTGATTGTGCGTGTATGTGTGATTGTGTGCGTATGCGTGATTGTGTGCGTATGTGTGAATGTGTGTGATTGTGTGTGTATGTGTGAGCGTGTGTGTGTGTGCATGTGCAAGTGTGTGTGTGCATGTGCAAGTGTGTGTATATGTGTGTGTGTGTGTTTGTAAGTGTTAGTACGTGTGTGTGTATTTGTGTGGGGCTACGTGAGTATATTTGTGCATTTGAAAATCTGTGTTATTCGTGTTTCTGTCTGCAAGCATACTAGTGTGTGTGTTTGTGTGTGTATGATTGTTTGTGTGTGTGTGTGCATGTTTGTTTGTTTGTGTGTGTGTGTATGTGTGTGTGCATGTTTGTTTGTTTGTGTGTGCGTGTGTCTCTGTAATATCAGGTTGTAAACAAAACGGAGGCAATCAATAACAGAGGATTTCCAGCTCAATAATTAAATTATTTTTTTCTTTTATTTTCTTCTAACATTTTTATTATGCTTATTAATAATAATATTGTTATTGTTATTATTAATTATATTGTCGTAATTATCGTGAATGTTATTTATATTTTTAATATTGATAATGTCTTCGTATGCGTATATCACGTGACAAAGGAAACGATGGTAATGATAATAATGATGACGTAGTAGATGATGATGATGATGATGATGATGATAATCATGATAAAGTGAACCAAAACCTTGATTATAATGACAAACATCGAAAGAAGATGATGAAGATGATGAGGACGATGATGACGACGATGGTGATGAACCTGGCATGACAGATGAGCCTGTGATAAGATTATTCCTTTCATCCATTTTGGGGAGCTAAAAAATATGAAGAAAAAATATAAAAGCCTAAAAGTTTTTTCTCTTTGTTTGAGAAAAATTGAATAAAAAAACATTCATAAATTTAAGAATAAAATTTGAATTTCCGAAATTAAATTATAAAGTATTGAATAAAAATTTATGAATTATGGCAGATTGGCGTGCAATGGATGGATTGGCTTGTGCGTCATAATCATATTATGAAGAATTCTTTTATACATATATATATATATATATATATATATATATTTATAATAATATCTGGAATATCTATATCTGTGTGTATGTGTGTTGACGTTATAGTTATATACCTTAAATACGGAAAATGATAAGTAACATGATTTATACGCGCTGGTACACGGTTCTTCCATGCAATGTTATCAAACGAGTGTAAATCTAACATAATCGATATCACAGAGCAGGGACATTTTTAGCTGTGGTGCTAAAAACAAGTTTTATGCTGTCTTGTACATAATTTTTTGCGATTAGAATATACATTTTTGTGTAATGCTAATGCCAAGCTCAAATTTTTCTGGTTTTTTTTTTCGTAATTGTGGTGTAAGTTCAACTAATTAAATAGTTTTCATTGACGAATTCTGCAATACGATAAACTAAACACGATTAAATATCCCACATGGTACGACAGTGTTCTGTTTAATTTTATTAATTGGAATAATATAGTAGTATTTCATGGTTCATGTTGATATTCATCTATAAAATATGCATACTTTAATGTACATACTTTAAACTATATACACACACGCACGCAAACACAAAAATATCATCACACCACACACACACACACACACACACACCAAAAATACACCACACATACACTACACACACACACACACGCACACACAGTTACATACACATATTTATGCCAGGAAACAGAAACACAGATGTTAATAGCTTTCAGCCAGACAAAAAAAAACAAAAAACAAGAGGATAAATAAATGTGACACACCTATCCTTTCCTTATAACAAGATTGGCTGTATTCGCCATCCTTTTTCAGGTTCTTTTTTATGACCTTTGTTGATAAGAGCGGGAAAACGCATATATACAAACACGGAATTTGTTGGTGATCAATAAGATGAATAAATAAAAACACACACATACACACTCAAACAAACTCACACGAACACACACACAGAAACTCACATCCACACAGACGAATACTCAAAACTCTTTTTATCACTTACTCTGCCATTCTCTCTCTCTCTCTCTCTCTCTCTCTCTCTCTCTCTTTCTCTCTCTTTCTCTCTCTCTCTTTCCCCTTGCGTGTGTTAGTATGCTTAAGCAATAAAGTATCAACCAATGTCAACACCGACATCAACACAAACAACTGCGTGAATAAGCGTACAACGGGATGTTTGCCGCCACACACATGTTCTCACATGTTCGCACGTACAAACCTTTGAATGTTTCACCGCTATCTAGCTATGAATATAATATATCACACATACACATTCAAGAGTCATTATAAAAAAATGAAATTTTAAAAAATATTTTGCATTTGAGTGTCAGAAAAAATTTTGCATTTGAGTGTCAGTTCATTGTCAAAATCGTTCAAGATGTCATGCTTATACGTTCATTCACACTTTAAATATTTACATTTGTTTCGATCTGGCTATACAGTTATTTCAGGATTTCAGTTAGTTTTTCTTATTCTCAAATTTTGTTTGAGTTTTGTGATGGCGCCTTTGAGAAATTTTCACTTGATGCAATAATGTTCATTTTATTCCAATTCAAAATATATTTTCTACATTGTTAACAAAATCAATGTTTTAAAAAATCATAAAAATTATTACAGATTGATTGAATTTTAGTTTTTATATCAGGATTTACTCTATTCTTCAAACAACATTCTAAATCTGTACAAAAATATAAAAAAATATTAACGACAGCAATATTAACAGTAATGATAATAACAATAGCTACAATGACAATAGCAATAACTTCTTAATGAACTTAACGACGTTCCTCAGTAATGCTTTTTGATGTTGCCGGGAGTTTGCTCCTCTGTTGCAAGTTATTCGAACATTAGATAGCAATCCAAGTTTGTAATATCTAATTCATACATTTTTCAATCCTCTATGTTTTTGTCTTTGTGTTATTGGTGGCATTTTTCATTTCATATTGAAAACTTGGAAGTTAAAACAATGTGGAATATTTTTTTTACGAATTTCTGCAAAAAAATAAATTGATTATTTATAAATAAATATAAAATAAATAAGAAAATGATTGAATAAATAAACTTATATAATTCAACAATTTTTTCTGTGAAAATCATTAAACAGCAAAAGACACTGAAACTCGAAGACTACTGAAAAAAGAGGTTCGACAACATTAACAACAAAAACTACATCAACACCATCAAAAACATTACCAACAACATTAGCAATACTAGAACCACCACAGACATCAATATTCTGGAGCGGCAGAGTTTTGACACCAAAGCACTTACCAGCAAAAATGCTCACTCCATTTACTCCATCTACGATAACTCTGCGACGCCCTAGCGGTGAGTCAGATTTCATTTTGACAAAAGTAGAAACACACAACAACAACAGCAACAGCAGCAACAATATCAGCAGCGGCAAAAGCAACGCCAACAGCCACAACGGTGACGACGACAACGATGGTGAAACAATTTCCGTTCCATTTCAGAGGCCGAAGGCAAACTCGGCTAGCTGCATTACAGATGGCATAAGAGCAAGGTTTTGATTGATGCACCTAATAATGTTGTCACTCTCTTATTAATGTATTGCTATGTTGAAAAAATATTTGTTATTGTTGTTGTTTTTTTTTAATCAAGATGTTGTTGTTATTGCTGTGATGTTTGTTTTATTATGCAATTTTTATTTATTTGTTTTACTTTTTTGACTGTAACTGCAGTTGTATTATATTTTTTGGAGAATCAAATTGTTGTAAATTTCCACCGTTTTAGGGAGTGTTAGGTATTTGATTTTTAGCAGTATTTGAATGTTCATCGAACAAATTATTACATCTTGACATTTAATGTACTATGTTATTTTGAAAACAAAATGAATTAATTAAATTATTTTTAAAAAATTTAAAATATTCAGCAATTATGTTTATTATTAATTTTTATTTTAAATGTTTAACAAGCACACCACGTATCAATAATTTCAAATTACAATGTCATCACCTCGGCTTTCCAAATTTCATTACAATTTTAACGAATTAATACAAAATTCTGTTAACAATAACTTTACCAACACTCACCCATCCACCCACCGACCCTGCAGTCACTTCCTGAGCACCATGGGAGCCTACATGATCAAACACGACTACCTCCTCACGCCACCTGTGGCCTTGAACGTCCCCCACCAAACCACACCCACCCAACCGGCCAGACGAAAAAACAGTTGGCAGGAAATTTTCAAACGGGACTTTAAAAATTTTCGCGTGCACGCTGCGGATAGCATCAAGGGCAGTGTGGACAGCCTGCTAACTCGCCTCTCCAACAACAGCGAATCAGCCAGTCGTTACAGCACGTTTCTCCAAGCATCGAACGATCTAATCATTGAAGTTCTCCCTCGCAATGACGAATACGACGGAAGAATTTTAAACGGATATGGAAGAAAAATTTTCAGAAAGAAGGGGTATTATAAAATGAGAAGCAAGTCGAAATCGCCGGTGAATAATGAGCGGTGGAAACGGCTGAGCAAGAGTTGCAAATTGAACAGTGAGTTGCAGCAGCATCTCAGCGAACTAGACAGGTACATAACAATGGAGAAATTGAGAAGAAACAGTGAACTGGAGCATAATAATGCATGTGATGGGTGTTCGGGAAAAAATATTGCAAGCTTTACTCGTAATAGCAAAAATATTAACAATAATAATATCTTCAATAATAAAAACCATGAAATGAAAATGAAGAAAGAGCATGCTACTTATAGCTACAACAACGACAACAACCACGTAAACAGCTACAAAGAAGAAAGTGATCAGCTTTTCTCCTCAAACTCAACAATTCAATTTAAAATTTTACAACAGCAACAACTTTCACAAATACTTCAACAACAACAACCGCAACAGAGTCAACAACAAAAGCAACAACGTCAATATCAAATTCATGATGAACAGCAGCTGCGAGAGAGTTTTCAAAAACTGCTTCAATTAAATGATACCCAGTCAATACTATTCACTCACTGCTCTAATAATGAACAAAAGCAACTACCGAAGCAAAACTCCCAAAAACACCAACATCAACATCATCATCAGCATCAGCAGCAGCAACAGCAGCAACAACAACAACTACGCGACAATCAACAGCAACCGTCTCAGCAGAAGGGGCAAAAACAATCTCGCAATAAAACATTTGCGGCAAGCTACTCAACAAATCAGCTACCGGAGGACCTCTCAAAATCCTGCCCCGACCGAAGTTTCATCTGCCCCCTTCAAGGTGTCAGTGTGGGTCAAGGTCGTTTTAAGGCCTGCTTGCCACTGAATGCATTTCCCAAGGGTCATATATGTCTAAAGGTCAGAGGTTATCGCCTGGAAATTATTCAGCTAATAAAAAGAAGAGGGGACGGTAGGAGGAGTGGAGGGAGTAGTAGGGAGGGGAGCGATGATGGGCGGCTTGAGTGGATAAGCCACGTTGAAAGCAACAGAGATAATGAAACTGAGATTAGTACGAGAGACAAAAAAATAGCCACTGGAGCCAACCATATGAGTGAAAGAAGAACATACAGCGGAGAAAGTAGCTTAAACGTCAACAGTTTTTATGGAGAGTGTGAGGCTCACAGTGGGGACACTCCGAGGAGGAAGATAAGCGACTGCACAGAGTACAACTACGCAAAAAAGATGAACAACTTCAACAGCAATAACAAAGCTTGTGCAAACATGGATGACAACATTGACAGAACAACAAACGAATGCATCAAAAACACAAAATATTCCAGAGCAAACACGATGTCAGACCGAGGCGTTGTATCGAATAACTCGTCCTCTTCGCTACGTTTTTCTTACTTCGCTCCAATCAGTATCGGCAACAATAACTTCAGTTCAAACCCCAGCACGTCATTCAACCTCGGCAACAACACCAACAGCAATCTCATTCTGAACTGCAGTAGCAATGTTTTGAATGGATGCAGCCAGCAACACATTGAAACGATTCCAGTTAGGAGCAACCAGGGGAGCAGAAGAAATAGCAGAAATGAAGAAACAATTGCAGCGACGGGTAAGAACAACGTTCCACATCCACCGGATGATTTCCCGATAAGCGGATACCGATATCTCGGAAGTGTCAGCATACCGATATTCGTCGAACCTTCCAGCATTGATTTCGGTTTGGATAATCTATTGCAATGGTTGAAGATAGATGGGAAATTGAAGGGCTGTATTAGTAGCAGTTGTCTAAATTTAGATGACCCGCTAGATGATGACGATGATGATATTAATATTGGAGGTAATGATGATGATAATGATGATGACGGTCTCGTTGTTGCTACTGTTGCTGGTCATGATGATGATGGCTTGCTGGAAATTGAACGAAAGAAAAATTGAAACAAAAGAAAGAAAAAAAGAGTAAAAATATGATCCAAATGAATATGAGAGAGAGGATGGGTTGGGTAGTATGTTCTCGCTAATTATAGCATTGTTGATATTATAAACTCAGCATTTAATTAACAGTGTGTGTGTATGTGTGTGTTTGTTTGTGCGTGCGTGTGTGTGTGCGTGTGTGTGTGCGTGTGTGTGTGCGTGTGTGTCTGTCTGTTTGTGGGTGCGTGTGTGTTATTGTGTGTATGTTTGTTTGTATGTGTGTGAGAGTCTGTTTGTGTGTGTTATTGTGTGTGTGCGTGTATGTTTGCTTGTTTGTTTGTGTGTCTGTGTGTATGTGTGTGTTTCTAAGTGAGCGTTATTGTTATTAAACACTTCATGACAATTTCATAACATTCATTGACATTGAAATTATGTAAAAAAATTATATATAAAATAATTGGGTCGTTGACATCATAATTTTTTTCAGTATATTTATAACAATAATAATAATATTCATTGTACTCTCGTTCTGATTCTTATTAATCTCATTAGAAAAAATAGTTTTTTCAGAACTGGTGGCTATTAATCAATTAGTATTCTATTAATTAATTGATGTTATTAGTTTTATATGTAATTTATATATCTAACTTTTTATCTATCCATCTATCTGTCTATCTATCTATCTATCTATCTATTTTTATTATAATACTGCATAATTTGTTTTCTAGTTCCTTAATTGAATGACATGCCGATAAATTTTTGTTGATTCTAGCCGATTATTATTATTATTAACTTTTTTCCTAATAATATTTTTCTTATTTTTAAAATTATTTTTTTCGAAAACGGCTATGATTTCAATTAATTTTATTCTAGTGATACCACTCAGAGCGAAAAATTTGATAGAAACAGATAATACTCTATCTGTATCCATATCAAATTCATTATTTTTTCAAATTTAAAATAAGTTTCATGTAAGGTATTTTAAAGATAAAATCACTTTTGATGAATTATTTGTATAAAAAAATATATGTTTGACACAAGGTACATAAATAAACATGTTTCTCAAGCTTGTTGGCGCCGAAGATGTGTAAGCTGATTAGGAGTAGAAAGATTATTTTTACTTTTAATGCTGAATGTAAACCGCATGGGATATTTCACAGTTAGGATGGTCGCTCAATGGAGAAATAAATAAACCAATGAAGACACCGAAGATATGAAACCAACGTAAGAAAATGTTGAACGTGCTAAAATGATTAATTGACAAGCAAATCCATCCAAAAGGAGATGTAATAATTTATTGTTTTTACAATTCTAGAGCGCATATTTGCCTACAAAGGACATAAATTTTAAACATCAATCCCTTGTTTACATTTTTACTCTATGATATCTTTTCATATTCCAAAAAAAAGGTGTTTAATATCCTAAATTTAGTTTAGTAACGCAACAATTATTTTCTTTACATTTGTAAACATATTTTAATTCCTTCAGCAAATGCATCGTTATCTGGCTGAAAATTAAATATACTACTGCGTTCAACATTTTAATTTCAATTTCTTTAAAGCAATTACAAAACCTAACAAAAACGTACTAACTGATGGAAAAACTTTCCATTTGTTAACATTTGAATTTTGCATTCAATACAAATTTTTTTTAAACAAAAATTAAAAAGTAAAGAGAAAACTTTTGTTTCGTTACAAACCATAGATCAGCAAGAGAATTTGTCAATCCTTTTTTTTAGAAAATTCGTCTGATACATCATTTCAATTTGTGTAGAAACATTTTGGAATAACTCAACTTTAACGATTAATCAGGTTAATAATAATTTTGTTTATAACAGTTTAAAAAAACAAGCAGTAACACAATATCCAGTACAAGAATTTTTATGGATTCATTAAAAACGTAAGCGGAGCCAGAACGATCGTTAGCGAGGGAACAAAGAATTAATGCATTTCAAATCCTATTACCAAATGCCAGCCAGCCACAAAACAACTGCTACCTATTTATCTTCCGAATTATATTTAATTTTATTATTTCGCTAATTTTTTCTTATGAGTATATTGATTGATATTTTTAAATTTGTAAAAAGAAAATATATTGAACTTTAATTCACTTGTGACAAACGTTAGAAATATTCATATTATTCATTGAAAATTCATGAATTCACAAATGCTTTAGAATATATATAGAAACCAATCAAAAGAAGAATTTAGTTTCAAAATTTTGGTTGATAAGCTGATCTTGATAATATTGTTGATAAGCTTGATCTAATTATTAGCATTATGTATTACGTTATGGAGATGCTTTATAAGAAAACCAAAACCTCACATTTTTTTTGGTAAAAATTTGTAAAAAATACTTTTTGAGACCTGTTTGATAACGGTCATTAACCATTTAAGAAGTAAAAATATACAATGAGATATTTGATGTTTTTAGATTTATGATATCAAACAACGATAAAAATTTCACATCATAATAAAATACCGAATTTTCCAACAAAAGAAAAAAATTCAAAAATAATTTAACGTTAAATAAAGATGTTTTTTGTCAAAATAGCTCAAAGTCACAAAATGAATTATATTTAAAACAAAAAATACATTTAAAACATATAAAGCATCTCATGATGAACATCTTGTGGATGCACTTAAAGCTTTTAGAAACAATTTTATTTATTGCAGTTACCAAAAAACACCATCACGCAGATCCTAATTTACAATCATAATATTCTGTTTTTCGTTTTGTAACAAAAAATTAACACCGAAAACAAAAGATGAAAACATCTTCGGATGATACTTAAAAACTTAGTAAAAACATTTCCACATAATTACGCAGCGACGGCGGATTGGAAAGATTTGTTTGTCTGCCCCTCCTTTATGACGTGCACGGGTATGAGAGGATGGTCCGTTTTCATTAAGTAGTTCTGTGTGTTGAAAATGTAGAGAGTATGATTAGGTAGGAAGATTTGAATATAACAATTTCAAATTGCCCCAATTGCTTCTATACATACAGATGCAATGACACACACACACACACACACACGCACACACGCACACACACGTTCGATAACAGACAAATAACACATGTATATAAACTTTGATTTGTTATATGGTCATTGAACATTTAAAGGTTAGAAGGTTAAAGGTAAATCTCTCTTGTGCCCGCTTCGGAGGTTTCAAGTTTTTCATTAATTTGGCTATTTGAAGTTTTATTAGATCTTACATGAGCGTAGCCAACTCCGTTTTGTTTTTCAGTTTTTGAGGCGTTCCTTCCAATCCAGACAAATACGTCTGAAGCAGTGTCAAAGATGAAGACATCCTGAAGTAGTAAAATAAATCAATAAATAAATTCAAGATCAAATTGATTCAATTGGTATAATTTCATAAATCCATAATTTACCAACATAATTGTAGGAATGAATGTTTAGGTTTATCAAACCAACACATTATTAAAATTCAATGAAATATTTAATTGTCATGGAAATGGGCTGAATGTTGGATGCTTGGACCTTGGATGCAAAATCTTTCATTGAGACCTGTCCTGATTTGATCTTCTCCATCTTCAACTGACCACTCTCATCGGAAACTCTGCGAATTAATTTTATTTCATAAATTAAAAAAAATTTCCACTTATTTAATTAGATCAAAAATTTAGTTGTCGTAAATTTCGAGACAGAATCGTCTTTTACTATTTTTTTCAGACAGAGGCATCAAAAGAATCAGCGCGCTACAATTATTGCATGGGCTAGGCTGAGATCCTGTTGCTATAGCAAAGCCAGGCAACTAAACCATTATTGCACCATGACACGCTTCTTAAGTTACGACTTGAGCATTCTAATAAACTTAGATGATACAAGTGAAAAAATTGTGAGTTAAGAATAAAATCAGAATATTTATTACTTTGAAATGATAAATTTAGAGAAAAAAATGAACCGGCAATCATTTACTTCGCAAGAAAGCAAATTTATTCGCAAATAAGTAAAAAATGTAAGATTTAAATTTTAAAAACTATAAAGTATAAAGCCATGAAATACTTATTCACTTCAACAAAAGCCTCTCCTTTGATTTATTTCCCTGCCCGCCAAGCATATCATCATATTCGGGGGAACCGCTGTCACCAGTCAGCAGACTGTAAAACTCATGCTGTAAGTTAAATAAAATTTAAAAATTATTACCATATTAATTTATTAGTTAAATAAAGGCAGGAATTTTATTAAATCATGTAAGTAGTTCAAGAAAAATTTCCAAAATAGAAATTTATTTTGAATTAGTTTGATTTTATTATATATATATTTATATATACCCATGGTTTTTATTTAGAGCCCCGGGTGAGACACTCGAAAAACTTTTTAAGCAAATTCAAGTTGTAAAATTAAGATTGTGGAATATTTTTGTTGGGGCCTTTTAACTGAAACCCCAGTTGTCATACCATTTTTTTCATTTTCAACCATAAAGTGCTTTCCACATCTGCTATATCCAATTAAATTAGTTTAATTTTTGTAGCACACAAAAACCTTTATAAATATTTAACAAAAATATACTTAATTTTTTCACAATGTTTAACAATTTTTTGTCATATTTTACGTAGAAATTAATATCTTGAAATAATTTTATTGGGAACTGCCATCAAAAACTTTGTGGTTACGTCTTTCAAGTTAAAAAAAAAAGAAGTACCAACATCATCTGATATATCATCTTCGTCCAGTGTTTCTCCGACTGATTTGTTTCTCTCAGATTTCAACTTCTGCATATAGCCTGCCGCCTGGCAAACCAATTGTAATTATTTCACGTATTACATTTTAGAATTGACAATTCTTTAAATTTAAAACAATTTTCGCTAACTAAATACAATTATATTTTAATAAAGATTATTCAAACTACAACTTTTTAACGAATTTATACCTTCAGATATTTCGCCTATTTTTTTACTGAATATTTATTAAAAAATTGGTCTCAATTGAAAAAAATGGCCACCTTGAATCGTTCATCCTTGTTACTTCCTTTTCCATTCCACTGGTAAAACTTCAGACCAGCATCCAAGATGAACACGTCGTCAGATTTCAATGAAGTTCTCGCTATTGGAACCTTCATGAAAAGTGAGGAGTGTTATGCTAGCCACAAATTTGCAGAAGAGAAAAATTTTGAAAAAACTTTGACTTTTTTCTGTTTATCACCCAATTTTTAAAAATTTCGCTAATGCAACAAGTCTTTTACAAAAATATGTCATAATTTGGCATAATGTTATTGTTGTAAGAGTTGAAATATAGTTTTAAAACTAAATTTTCACAAATATTTATAGAGGCCCGTTCATTTCAGCCTTAATCATAAAAAGTTTGATTTCAAAAGCTGTTTAATGCAATATAGTGTTTATGATTTGTAACACGAGTTGTGATTCAATATTCGTGAGCTATCTATCAGTCAGGCAGAATCATTTGTAAGAAATAAATCAAAAATAACTTCAGAATAACTTGTCAAGTTTGTTAAATTAATTTGAAGAATTATTCTTGAAGTTATAAGTAATAATAAAATTATGTAAGAGGGCAAAATACAGCAAGGTTAGGTCATATTTCATTCTCCCAATTTATAACTTGCAATTAAAAATCATAAGAAAAAAATTAATGATCGTCACTCAAAATAATAGTTTGTGAAATGAAAAGAAATATTCAGTGCAAATCTTTTCAAAACCTCTTTCAGTGACACGAGAGTTTTATCCCCATGGAAGTGTAGCAGTCGTGGTTGGTATTCCACTGGTTTGACGTGGTTGAAACCTGATTCTGCCCCACCATCCATCGTTCTTTTGGAAATATTTTCAAAAAAATTTTTATAAATAATAAAAAAACTGTTTTTTGAAAATTTTTTAAAAATATTTTCTCATCACAGTATAGTTCTTAATTATGTAGATTATGTTACTGAAGTCTTTTTAATAAATAATTCTTACACCACTTCTGTAATAAATATTCTTAAAAATCAGCTTAGGGTTTATAAATGTCATTATTGTCTTGTTAAATCTATATTTTTTTTTATAAAATTTTTGAAAGAATCAATCTAAAAAAGGTAACTTCAGCGATTATCATAATAATAAACTAAAATCGTACGTGAATCCTTGTTTGAAGTATGATTTGAAGAGTTCTGACTCGTAGCCTTCAACCTCACGATGTTGTACCGGCTTATCGTCCAGGTAAGTGTCCAACTCCACCGTTTTGTAGGCCGCTGTACCATACTCATCCTTTTGGGATCAAAGAGATTTCAAATAGAATGTTGTTAATAAAATTTTTGGCAAATTGCGATCTTTTAAAATATTTAGTAGCCGTGCTTGATGTTCATGAATGTTTTTTTTTAAATCAACAGGTTAACAACAATTTCAGCTGGTAAAAATATTTTAAGAAGTTTAAATCATTCCCTCACTACACAAGTCTGTACTTTAAAATAAGAACATTAATTTGGACTCATTGCGGTTGTATGTAAATGAGCTAAAATTTTTACATACTCTTATAATAACATACAAAAACCGTGTTATGACAACGTTAAACACCACATGTAACACAATCATGCTGCTCGCAACATCGCAAGCTCAGTGTGTGTCTACAATAAGTCGAAATTATTTCTTTTTTTTTGTTCGTGATTGTTTACTTGTCTGAATATTTAATTAAAATAATTTGTACATATAATTTGTTCTCAAATCTTTCAAATGTATTAGCAACATGAAAAACACTTAAATTTACTAGCAAAATAAAATTTTGTTCGTTTCAGACCTGTGTACTTTGCCCACCAATCCAAAAATGAAGATCGTACGCTAACTCGTTGCTGTTTGGTTTTGGCTTGTACGTCTAATAAAAATATTATAAAAAAAATAGAAGAAAAATGGTTAAATTATTCAAAATCTATTCTTTTTCCATATTATCATGGCAAGGAAACAATATTGACTTAGTTTGAAATGTTATGTAGCGATGAAGAAACATTCATTAAAAAGAATTAAAAATTTTTAAATTTCTTTATTTAATGGTCAATTTTCAACGTTCACAAACGTTCAGTATGATGTAAGAGTCTCCACTGTAGAATCTTCCATAATCTCTTTCAGGCCAGTCTGTCACCTTGAAGTTCTGTATGAGAATGTTTGTTCATTTGTTCGCTTGTTTGTTCGTTAGTTAATTCATTTGTTTGCTTGTTTGTTTGTTTGTCTGTTTGTTTGTTGCCTGTTCGTTTGATCTTCTATTTGTTTGGTGAAGAATTTGTTTAAATTGGTTGCGTGTTCTATCAAAATGTTTTCATACACTTGCTTTGTCGTGATTGAAATACAGTTTTCATAGACCTTTTCAGATTAATAAAAATAAGTGCCTACTGTTTGGTTTCATTCTCTTTCTCCCTCACTTTCATCTCTCTTTTTGTCACTTACTTTTTATATCTCTCTCTTTCTTCTCTTTAATTCTCGTTCTCCTTCTTATAAATTTTTGTCTCTTTCACTCTCTTTTTCTCTTTAATTTTCCTTTCCTCATTTCATTCATTCAAAACTCATTCCCTAATCCATTTTCTCTCTCAATCAATCACACTTACCACAATCCTCCAGATCTTGATCCCAACTTTCTGTCCTGCATTCTTCCAGGCTGGTTCCGTTTCCGCCGACTCTTCTGCAATAAAAAAGTAACGATAGTGTAGTGGTTAGTGTAGCAGTGACTGGATACGAATGCAGTGAGATCCTCGTCGTCTAATACTACATGCAACGTATATCATGATGCACGGACAGAAAGAAGGAGAGTTAGGCTACTACAGAAAGAGAGAGCGAAAGAGAGAAAGAGAGAGAAAAAAAAGAGAGAGAGAAAAAAAGAGAGAGAGAGAGAGAGAGGAGTAGTAGCAAACAACAGTAGATACGAGATGATCAATTTTATAAAACCTTATTGATCTAAGCCATTGTTTTGAAAAGTACGCCGTTAAATTATGAATTGCAATTTTCAACTGAAAATTTATCATCACTTGAATTAAACTAAACTAAACATCGGCATTTTGGAAAAAATTCTCATTTCACAATAAATTTATATTAAAAATGTTTCATTAATCAAATTTTTTGACGAATAACATGAATTATTTCATTTCATCATCTTAACAATAGCATTTTACTACATTAGATACAAAATAAACTATTGTTATTTAAACTCTTATAATAACTTGCTCATAATGTTGGATGCTTTTGGTGAAGTTTACCATTTGTTCGGTGATTCTCTTGTTAATTAAGATTTTCAACCTTGTTGATATTATTCTTCATTGTTAAGTTTCGACGCGACCGATTGTGGATTCAGTTTGACGTTTAAACCAAGTTCTCATTTTAAAATTTGTTCTCAATATGATAGTTGTTTTATGAGGAAACAATTCAAAACAATGAAATCAAAATAGCAAATAATTAAAATGAAATAAAATTTTTTATGTGACAAATGTTTCACTGTGTTTCATTATAAAAAACAAACAAACAAAATTCTACTTTGCCTACTAAAATATTTTATCAAATTGTAGCTGTTAATTCCTGGATATCGTGTTTAGGTTGCACTTCTAACTAGACTAGAAATCTGAAAACAAGTGGAAATTAAACATTTTAATTACTTTTAACTTTTCTGTCGAGGTCAGAGCCAAAGAGAGCCACGTTGGAATCCTTCCAATCATAAGTTTTTGGTTTCAACAATCCTACAAGCAAATAAGAGCAGAATAGGAGGTTTTAATTGAATCATTAAAACCAATCCAAGGCTAAATAATAATGTAAACTAAAAGATTTTAAAGGTGAAACAAATAAATCCAAATTATACCCTTCAATAAGTATATCACATACGTTTACTCTAGTATCGTTTGGTACCAAAATTACTATTTAGTTAACAATTGCTGAAAATGATAAATTTACGGGAAAAACCTAATTGCAATACATACAACAAGCAATACGATGTATTGCGTATTGTTAGCCGCGTACATGTATCTTGATATTATATATATATACGCGTAAAACATGGTATTATTATGATGGGAGATGCCATTTCACAAAAATAAAATGTCGAAATGTGTTATAGCAAAATGACCTGGCATTTTGTGAAGTTTTTTCTAGAAATTGTTTTCCTTTTAATGTTTATCCCAAATCCAAATAAAGCTCAAAAATGTATTTCCACTTTAATTTTTTGGAGACAGAGATACAAATCTGGAAGAAAACGAAAAGAAAGTTATATTCAATATTCCTTGCTAACATAAAACTTCCTATAACTAACAAAAATACTCAAAATAGTAATGAACGAAACTCATTTACAAGAAAACTGAACCTTATGTTTAATAACACCCAGAACAATACTGATTATAAATTTGACTTGAATTGAATTTGAAAAAGTATGAAAACAAATAAATATTATTTTCAATAAATAAACTAATAAACATCTCAAAATTAAACTAAAATAAACCTTGAAAAATAGAAACAACTTAGCCAAAATTGTTATTACGTAAAAAAACAATATCACGCTTTGGCGTTTATAAAACTTCGCAACCAAGAAGAGAGAACGAGGGTGGATACTTTTGAATTGGTTATAATAATAATAATAATAATAATAATAATAATAACAACAACAGCAAAATTATACTTGTAAATACTTTTAATGTTATTATTACTGCGTTGCGCAAACATCCTTAGACCAGAATGGCAATATTAAAATATCTTCAACAGTAGAAGCAGAAAAATATTATTACTGTTATTTATACTGTCATTTATTTCTTTTCATACTTTTTTTCTTATTTTTATTACTATTTTGCTGAAATGTTAATGCCAAACAAACATGCATTAACAAAAGACAGCTTACCAAGAGCATCTAAGCCTAACAAAGTATGAATTTGAACGATACGGCATAATGTTTTGATACCACTACTACTACTAATAATAATAATATAAATTTTGTAATGTTATTATTATTATTTTATTGTTAATATTATTATTATTATTTAAGTTCAAAAGCAGCGAACATTCCAACAGCTTAACAATCGTTCGACAATGGTGTGTTTAGATTGATAGGTAGCTCTAGCGTGAAATTACGTTCAGCTCGAGTTAAAGAGCGGATGACAAACAAATGAATTAGTGAATGAACTAATGAATGAATGAATGAATGAGTGAGTGAGAGAGTGAGTGAATGAATGAATGAATGAATGAGTGAGTGAGTGAGAGAGTGAGTGAGTGAGTGAGTGAGTGAATGAGTGAGTGAGTGAGTGAGTGAGTGAGTGAGTGAATGAATGAATGAGTGAGTGAGTGAGTGAGTGAGTGAGTGAGTGAGTGAGTGAGTGAGTGAGTGAGTGAGTGAGTGAGTGAGTGAGTGAGTGAGTGAGTGAGTGAGTGAGTGAGTGAGTGAGTGAGTGAGTGAGTGAGTGAGTGAGTGAGTGAGTGAGTGAGTGTGTGAGTGAGTGATGAGTGAATGAATTAATGAATTAATGAATGAATGAATGAACTAATGAATGAATGAATGAACGATCGATCGAACAAACGAACGAACGAACGAACGAACGAACGAATGAATGAATGAAAAAACGAACGAACGAGCGAACGAACAAATGATTGAAAGCATAATTGAATCGATGAATAACAAATTAGTTAATGCATAGGAGCATGGTAAATGAACAAACGAGTGAATAACCGTATGAACTAACTAATGAACATATAAAAATATGATTGATTGATTAAGTGGGTATGGAAGAACCAGCATAATAGAGAACAATGAATTAATGAATGAAAGTCAGAACGAACAATTGAACTGATAAATGCAGTAAAATAGACAAAACAAACAAACAGACAAATGAACCAACAACAATAGCAATGAATCATTGATGAATTCAAATTAATAAACTGCCGAATCAATATAATACTGAAATTCTGTGTTTTTGAATTCACATTTCGATTAGAAATTTATCTTTAGATCCGGAATATCGGAGTTGGGATCGGTTGTTGCTGGGAATTTTTGTGGAATCTGTTGTCGCAACTTTTGAAAAAGTCACGTTCACCAGGACTGAACTTTGCAATAAACAACGAGCGATGCACTTATAATTTTCAATTGCTTAGACTATCACATTTGATGACCAAATTCGCAAAAATTTTAATTTGCCATTAAATCACACCTACTACAACATCACGCATATGTGCTACTCACACACACACACACACACACACACACACACACACACACACACACACACACACACACACACACACACACACAGTGAGTGAATAGTTGATGTTTGATTGATGTGACAATGAACTATTGTTTCTACAATTGGAAAGGTTTCTTACATTATGACTATCTTTGTTAAGGTAGACATTCACTAATGGAATATTATAATTGACGTCATTACTATTTAGCAGATAAGAAAATATATATGAATGTTCAGACAGAGGCGCAGGTAAGAAGGGGTAGTTGGGTTTGAAAAATGGAAAAAAGTTGGTAGAGTTAAGGGAAATTGAAAAAAATCTCTATATACTTTAGTAATAAACTGAGACTGAAAAGTATTTCCGTCCCTCTCACAACATATCTTTGGTACAAAACTACAAATTTTAATGTAGCCAAATTTGTTAATAATAGTAAACAAATAAGAGAAAGGTCTGCCACATTTTTAACAATATTAAAGCCCTCATACAACAAAAATTTTCAACCACTGTGTATGTATGTTTAGGTTCGTGTGTGTATATATATATATACATATATATATATATATAATATATATATGTTTAGGTGTATGTTTATGTATATATATATATATATATATATATATATATATATATATATATACATATGTTTATGTGTATGAATTTATTCTTATATGTTTAAGTGTATGTATTTATACATATGTTTAGATGTATGTACATTTATATATATGTGTGTGTGTACTGTCCATTTGTTTGTATATATGTATACAGAAATGATTGCCTTTTATTGACAGTGCTTAAAAATAAGAAATATCATCGGGTCTCAGCACGAAGTTAACAAATGGCACAATGTTGTTCTTCGTGCTGACGTTTATCAATCTTGTTGTATCAGGTTTGTTTTTGAAGGATGATTTAAAATCATTTATCTGGATTTTCTTAATTGAATTTAAATCTTTCGAACAGTAAATTTCTAGATATTTTTTCACATTCTTACTTGATTGAAAACAAAATTTAATGTTTCCTGACCCCAAGTTGGATTTGCGAGGAACGTTCTACTGCGAAAACCATCAACTCAGAGTTCGTGTTACGATACCACTTGTAATAAATACAACGCTTCATTGGCTGTTGATGGAGATAGCAATCCAAACTTTGATTACACTCACTGTTTCCATAATACCTTCGAAATATTAGAGGATAGATGGATCCTTGTCGATATGCTCATTGCGTACAAAATTGACTACGTTGTTTTCTGGAGTAGAGATAGTGATTGTAAGTAAAAATTTTTGCATACATCGATGTATTTATAAGTCTAAAAAAATTCTGATTAATTATTCAACATAAATATGTAAAAATTTCAGCTGAACGCAACGAAAAATTCATCATCGGACTGACAAACGTGAATTATTTTGATCCCACTTCTGATCGACCATTAAGGGGAAAGTTTCCCATCTGCGGTCAGTACCCTGATCCACCTCAGGTCAGCTCTCCACACCGTGTGAACTGCGGCAACAACGTAACTGCTTCCAGGTACGTCATCGCCCAACAATACTCACTGGCGCTAGTCGGATTCGTCGTCTGTGAGCTTGAAGCTTTTCCAAGAGAAGGTACCTTAAGAAATTTTATATAGTTTAATTTGATAACAATCGTTTGTAGTGAATTATTTTTTTTGATTAATCATCTGTTTTTATACATTACAATTTTCCACTATACAACTCTAATGCCCAGAAAAAATTTGGAGACACAGAGAAGGAATGAAATTATCTGGTTTGACAATTCGAACAACTAAAGCCAGGACTGTTTATCACTGTGTGATTCTCTGCCTCCAGTCGACTGGTTGTTCATCAGTGAACTTCAATCGCGATTCAAAAACGTGCGATCTCAACACTGGAACTGTCGAAAATGTTACCAACTTTGTAGGAAATCAATCGTGTGACTATTGGCAACGAATGTAAGTTCACCACACGATTGTATAACTCACCGTTGGTGAGAATCAATTAAGAATCAATAGATTTTTTTTGAAAAATATTAGTTGAGTGGTTGTCGAAACAGTTTATGACAGGATTTTTTTAAAATTTGATGTATTCAACAGCAAAAACATTCATATATCATAGACGTAGCACTATTAATTGCTTTTATAATTTCGAGTGCTTTTAGGTCTCTGTAGAAAAAACCTTATTAATTTCGTATGTTTATTGTGCTTAATGTTTATGAATGACAACCATTTAAACTTTAATTCGTTGTTTATTCTACTAATTAATGCATCACTTATAGTTTTCAATGAATATTCAAATTTCAAATAAAAATCATCAACTAAAAGCAATGGGACTGACAAAAATATATTTAAGCATTATTGATGTAATTTTTTTATTTCAAAAAATTATTAAACGAATGTTCAAACTAAATAAAAATAATTTTCAAAAAAAACGTTAACGAACATTAAATTGTAAATAACTAAGGATCCAGAGAAAACCATGCACGCTCTAAAGCATTCAAATTTATATTTGAAGATCTCACAATTTCAAACTAAAATGCGTGCTTGCTACTTTCCAAAGTAATTAAATTTTAACCGTTGCATTTTTACAAATGAATAGTTGAGCATAGTTCCTTGAATGCACTGAAGAAGTTAGTTGCACGCACATGTGCGAATCCAAGAGAGCGTACCGTTGAGTCGAATCGTAGGTCCAACAGCGGACTCTTTCTGAATGAAGTCGAATATGTAACGTAGGAAAAGTCAATTAAAGTGTCCTAGCCTTGGATAACTTGATATTTTAAACTAATTTTACATCAAACGTTAGCTAATTTTTTGAGGTATCAATCCACAAATAACTATACTATTTTTGATTTCGTTTTAATATGTTTATCTTTGCTACCTCGACGCAAAATTTTGAAGAATAACTAGTAATTAACGAAACAATTCATAATGATACACATTAAAACGTAAAAATCACATATTTTTTCAAAAGTTAACATGCACCTAAATATGTAGATAATCATAATATAAGAATTAACGTTATTCTAAGAAAATGTAAAATTTAAAGCATGCAACGTATATTCCAAAATCAACTAATTTCAAAATAAAGTAAGTGCTCGTTTTCATTCCTTGTCAGACTTTTAATGTCGATTTTCAAAAATCCAAATTTTAAATTTTCCATAAATGGTTTGAGGAACAATGTTGCATGAATGAACTAAAACGGCAAAATGCACGTAAATGAATCGATGATAATGAGATATTTTTTTTTTTAAAGTATTAAATACAAAACAAACATTCATACAAGAAAGATTTATTAACGTTGGAATGGATGCAATCAGCAGAAACCATTTATGAACGCCACGTCAAAATGATTTGCAAAGAATTTTTTCACAAATTGGAGAATTTACTTTAAAACCTAGAAGTATTTTTTAAATATTTTTAAACACCTTACTAATATAGCCTATCAGAGCTAAAACATCGTAAAACTGCAGAAGAAGGAGACGGAAGAATTAATATAAATGAAATCATTTGAGCAAATCAGAAGCAAGCTTGTATTGTAAAGTTTTGTAAAAAAAAGATGTAATTCGGCATAAAGAATAGTTTTAAATAAGTAATTTTATTTTCACTAGCAAATTTGCACTAGCTAGACCTAACCCTTCAAGCTTTTCCAAACACTACCTGTAGTTTTGTTTTTTAATATGTTGCCAAACAGAGATTAACAAATATATGACCAAAATACTATTTACACAGGATAACATTTTATCTCGAATACAAAGCGATTTGTTTAAAAAATGAAAACTGAACGAATGATATTTTGGATCTCTGTTTTATTATTTTCTGTGCAGAAAGGTTAGTTTGCGGGTTTTTTAAACTTTCAAAAAAAAATTTTCTCAATTTAAACTAGAAAGTTAGATTCTAAATTGATAGAACAAAATTATTCAGTCATTTCTCAGAAGAACGTTTTATTGTTGAAGCCGGCAACACAAAGTTCAATTTACTTAGAAAATAATGCACCGCATCCTGGTTCGCTGGCTGTTGACGGCGACAAAAATCCAGATATTGATCTTGGAGGTTGCTTCCATGCTGGAGTTGAACCTCTCAAAGAATTCTGGGTTCTAGTTGATATGATCATTCCATACAGGATTGATTACGTCATTTTATGGAGTAGAAAATATTCAGTTTACAGTAAGCCAGCTTTTTGTAACATGTTTAATTTTCCATATAGTACAACTTTTTTGTCTTTATTTTTTATTTGATCATTTTTATTACAATTTTTTTTTACGATTAGCGCGTGTCTGTAAAAACTGAACAAATTGAAATAACGATAAAGATTGTCAATTTATTACTTGTTCAAAATGATTATATAATTAAAATACCAATTTCTTGCATGAACAATTTTACTTTTGATCTGATGACTAGTAACTTTTATGAAACTTGCACTGATCAGCTCCAAGAAACGACAATTTCATCATCGGATTGACAAACGTCAATTATTTCAACCTTCTCACCAACCAGACCATCAGAGGCAAGTTTCCTCTCTGCGGTGTGTACCCCTATCCTACCCAACCTAGTTTTGGACATCGTGTCAACTGCAGTTCCAACCTGCCTGCTTCCAGGTATGTCATCGCCCAACAAGCTGAAAATGCTGAATATGGATTTTGCATATGTGAACTTGAAGCTTATCCTATGAAAGGCAAGCTTTAACTTTAATATAAGCAATTTTTTATGTTTTTAATGTGCAAAACTACATATACCTTATATAAACTTAATTGTTGTTTAAACCACAGACTGTGCTTCTCATCACATAACATTCGAGCTAACCCACCAACAATTTTGGCAGAACTTTTTTATAATTTATAATTTACTTGCAATATTCAGAAAGTCTCTGGAGGCGTGTATCGGGTATAAAATTGAATGGACACCAGTTGCTCGGAGATGAAAAGCAAACGATTATCCAGTGCGTTATTAGGTGTATATCTGCGGTTGACTGCCATTCACTGAACTTTAATGTCGAAAGGAAAACCTGTGAATTCAACAACGGAACTGTTGAGAGTCTGGATGGTGTTGAAGCTAATTGTTTTTATGATTATTGGCAATTAATGTGAATTTGAACATGTCAACAATATGAAATCGTAAACTTTGTATCTCCAAAACAATGAAACATTGAATTATTTTTTCAAACTTTATTTACTAATCGTAGCTTGATTATTGCTTCACGTTTAAAAACTGCATCTCGCCGTAACTAAATTAATAAATCAAAACACTTTATTAATATTTCTTCTATTTCTTACCTGGCTTTAAAACTCTTGATTTGTCATATAAATTTTCTTAGTCTAGGTTTATTTTCCATCCAAATGCTAAAAATTTTGAATATAATTTAATTCACTATATATGCATTTGAATTTAAAATATTATGTAGAATTTATTTGTTAAAGTTTATTTTTAAACCTCTTCATAGGCTTGAACATTTTAAGTAGTAACAGGTTTATAATCTTTCAGAAAATAAGTCGATGCATGGAATAGATATTCACGAAACATCTATATAAATAGAGTTTGTACACGCTCATTAAACGCTCAATCGTATATATCCATGTTGTTTATATTTTCATCTATTATTTATGTTTTAAAATTGTTTGTTGTCTTTTATTTTAATGCACCATCTTCTATGCCCAAAACATAATAAAAAATTATTAGCTCATTGTCAAAATATCGTCTATAATTTTATTTGTCAAAAATAATATGGTTGTTAATCATTGAAATTTATTAGAAAACATAATCGAATTGAGTTGACGACGAGTCTCACAAATATACGTTAAAAAACTGCACTTACCATAAAACATTTTCGCAAACAGAAATTTCCTTGGGAGACTCTTTTAGATTTCCTGGAAAATGTGCACAACCTTTTTCCTTACTTCACATTTCAATCATGTTTTTCATATAAAAATGTGTATTGTATTGTTTTTTTCAATTTGGCAAAAGATTGCCGTTGTTAAATGGGTTGCAACAATTTCAAACTAAAATTTATGAAATATATATAGAAATTTTGCAAAATTTAACCTTAAACAAAGTAGCCGGGGGCTTCAGTTCCTAAGCTCCGCCCATGAAAACGCCATCGCTATTAGAGCAGCGAAAATGTGCTTGGAGAAAATTACTGCTTTCATCTCCGCAAGGAATAGTCAACAATGTGGTGTGTTGTTGCTAATTGTATACATTGTAATTATTATACATATATTGTATGTTAATATTTTTTATGGTGGAAATTTCAAAGAATGTACTGGAAAAATTAAAGATAGGGGCATTAATTAAATTTTTTTTAGTAATTATCAACACAGACAACAATACAATTCATTGTTAACAAAATGCTTCCCTTAGTTAAATAAATTCATTTAGCTTTAACATTTAACTGTGAAATTTTTTTAAATTTATAAAAAATAAATTATACATTCATGGTTATGTTATGTTATAGTAATTTTATTTTTTGAAAAAATAGTCAAATTTAAATTTATAGTTTACCTGGATTAAATTATTTTTCGAAATAATTTGTTAAAGAAATAATGAAGTTTCAGACTTTTATGTTAATGATTCTGTTTGTTCAGCATGGTTAGTCTCTTGAAAATTTTCCTTTTTTTGTTTCCATTTATTAATTCAAAAACTTTAATTGCAATCTTTAAAGAACGAAGTTATGTGAAACGTTTGAAGTTTGGCAACAAACAGCCTAATAATTCTTTCTTACAAATACTCAATTATGATATGAAAAATGAGTTATTATATAACTAAGTTTTCAAAAAATTAATTAATTCATTTAATACCTAAAATGAATTTTTATGCAAAATAACAAAAAAAACATGAAAATATGTTTTCCATGTTACAATAACGATTTACAACCACAAAATATTCAATTTCTGAACATAAAATTTGAAAAAGCACTTTAAAAAAATATTTTAAAGATATATCGTTTATTAAAAAAACTCTTTTAAGCCGTTTCACGAAGAAATGTTCTGCTGTACAAACCAACGTCTCAAAGCTCAAGCTACTACGAAGTAGAAAATAATCTCTGGTACAATAGTTCCTTGGCTGTGGATGGCGATAGAGATCCAAATGCTTTTAACGGCTATTGTTTTATAGCCGACAATGTTGAACCTCTTTCTGATTTTTTGGTTGCTGTCGATATGATCATTTCGTACAAGGTCGATTACGTTCTACTTTGGACTAGAGACAGTTATGGTCAGTTTGATATTTATTTATTCAGATGTTTAATTTTTTTTAATTCGGTATTTTGTTAAATTTTAAGAAAAGATTGTCTTTCTAAAATAAATTAATAACTTCGATGTTGTTGGTATTGTTTATTTTTAAATAATCCTTAACGTTTAAATGAAACAATGTGATTTTTTATACAACACCAATTTCAAATAAATATAAAATTATTTTTAGGATGATTGAGATAAAACGCATAGTTTATTGTCTTTTCTTTCACTCAACAACATTTCGGCCTTGAAATAATTCATGTGTTTGTTGTCTGTGAGAGTTAAATGTTTGAATGCTTTTTAGCTTAGACGATGTGATTAATGTGAGCAGTCATTTCAAAAGCTGGTGTGAAAGTGACGGTTTATGCGAGTGATTGAGAAAACTTTTGGAGGTAGTGTAATAGTTTGATCCATATTAAAATTTTAAATACAAAAAAAATTTGAACAATTTGTAGCAGATTGTTCGAACAACTTCATTGTTGGGTTGACAAACGTCAACTACTTCAACCAGCCCAGTAACCAGGCTATCAGAGGTCGTTATCCTATCTGTGGTGTATATCCTTACCCTATTCAAACCAGCGCTAGCCATTGGGTGAACTGCAGCTCCAGCCTGCCTGCTTCCAGATACGTCATCGCTCAGCAAAGCTTGTCGGCTCTTAAAGGTTTTTGTGTTTGTGAATTGGAGGTTTTCACGACTGAAGGTTATTTTTTACATTTTAGATTAGTTATCAAATAGGTAATTTAAAAAATTCTATTTATAAATTTTTTTTTTAAAAACCGAAAACAAACAAGAAGTTTCAACGAATTTGATGAAGCGAAGGAGTGGATTGAAACTGAATGGGCTCGTTACGAGTTCGTTGGTTTTCAAATATGTTCAGCAATGTTTGATGGCGTGCCAGCAACTCAATGGGTGCCTCTCAGTCAACTTTGGAGTTGATTCGCGTCTCTGTGATCTCAACGCTGGAAGTGTTCACGATGCCTCCAGCATAGAAGTCAACCAATCTTATGACTACTGGGAGATCGTGTGAATTCAATCCACTTGCTTCTGGAAAAAGTGCAATGAATAATAACTAAGCTAAATAAGCGCAAATATGCCCTCCAAAATATTTTAAAAGTGACCAGTACATTTCCATAGTTTAACAACTTTATTTAGTGGGACTTGTGTGTTTCGTGTTAGAAAACTTTTAAAATTATCAATATTTTTATAACTTCTATATGATTAAATAATCATAATTTATATTTATTGCTGTTTAAATTGAACAAACATTATTTTTGAAACATAAAATTTATCTTTTTGGCATCCTAAAAATAAATTGAATCTATTTATGAACAAAATTGTTTTAATTTGGAAGGTTGTCTGTTTTTTTCTGAATTTAAAGCACTTTATGTGATAGTAACTATTCAGATTTTTGGTTATTGGGACACTAATAAGAATAAAATAACTTCTTCAGCTATAAAAAATATTAAGAAACTTAATCGTTTAAAAATCAGACTAACTCAACTAATCAACATAACTAATATGGCATGAAACGTTTTTGCCCACAAGAACCAATGCCAAATTCTAAATTAGCGTTTCAGACTTTCAAATTAAAAGGCGCATTACGTGCACTAAACCTTCGACTATTTGAAGTTTCAACGTTTGAAATTAAACAGCATTCTATAACTTGTAAATGAAACAATGTACATAAATTTCTATCTTCTGACATTCAGAGTCGTATTAATTTAAGCATGTACTTAAAATACAGTAGCGTTTAGCCAAAATTGCTACTTTGTGTGAACTCAAATGTTTTGACGCTTCAAATTAGTTATAAATATAAATTTTTGTTCCATGAAAATTTCATGAACTTGTAGTTTGTCTGTATGTATGTTTGTATTGTTGTTTGTATCTTAAACATGACTAGGCATGTTTTTCATAGTATAAATAATTTAAACGGTTCATTATATTGGTCTACAAATTTTCTTTTAAAGCAACACACAAAACTGAAAAAAAACTTTAGAGATTTGTACAAGCTGTTATTCATTTATTTTTTCATGAGAAATTGTAAAATATATTTACAATACCTTAATAAAAAAATATTTTCTTAAATAGTTTATCATGATCTTAAACATTTTAACATTTCCCTTAGTTACAATGTTTTTAATTTGTAATGTCACAAAAAGTAAGTTTATATTACATACATAATACTTTTTTAATCATCTTAGATAATAGTTTTGATTTGATAATATCTTAGAAGATTTTTATACTAGGTACAAACCACATTGAAATTACCAGATATTTTTTCAGCCATTTCTCAGAAAAACGTTCTCTTGCTGAAACCAGCGACACAAAGCTCAATATACGTTTTTAATAAAACATCGCACCCTGGCTCACTGGCTGTTGACGGTAATAAAAATCCAGATTTCAATCTCTGGAGCTGCTATCATGCTGGAGATGAACTTTTCAATGATTTATGGGTTTTGGTTGACATGATCATTCCATACCAAATTGATTATGTCTTATTATGGACTAGAAAAAATATTGCGTTAAGTAAGCTAGTATCAAATATATTTCTAAACTGCTGTGCAATGTCAGTAGAGCATATGTTCAAAATGTTAAAACGATTTTAATTATCAGCTGCACGCATGGACAACTTCATCATAGGATTGACAAACGTCAACTACTTCAACCTTCCCACCAACCAGACCATCAGGGGTAAGTTTCCTCTTTGTGGTGTATACCCCTATCCTACTAAGGCCAGTTTTGGACATCGTGTCAACTGCAGTTCCAACTTGCCTGCTTCCAGATATGTCATCGCTCAACAAGCTGAAAACGTTCCAAGTGGACTTTGTGTCTGTGAACTTAAAGCTTTTCCAAGAGAAGGTTGATTGCAGTTTTTTTTGTTACAACATTGTTAAAAAATTTCATGAAATTTTAGAGAGAGTCTGGAGGCGTGTAAAGGGAGTGAAAATGGTTAATTATGTTTTATATACCAAACCATCCAAATCTGTCAATCAATGCATTCTAATGTGTTTGAGTACGATCAACTGTTTTTCCACGAATTTCGGGATGAGAAACAAAAATTGTGAATTGAATAATGGAACAATTGAGAGCATCATCAACTATGAAACCAATTCTTTTTATGATTATTGGCAATCATTTTGAATCCTACCACCAAACGAAAAACATTATCTTACCTTTGGCAACATTCGAACTATTATTTTAAAAAGTATGGTGTGTATATAAGTTTGTATATAAAAAATTTGAATGTTTGATATTGGTGAAATTTTAATCGTCAGTTTAATCTGTAACATGCTAGGAAATGTTAGATTTCAAGATTTCAGATTAGACTAACGTACCACTATCTAAAATGGACCTCTCACTATAAACATAAATGTTGTGTCGCGTTATCGTGCGCTGTGCTAATTAAAAAACATTTCAACTTTATATTTTCTTTTTGAGTTCCAAAAATTTTTATCCGTGATTGATTGATGATAAGGAAATAAATAACCCGGACATAGCTGATGGATTAAAAAGATGGTATTTAAATCTATTCAGTATCTAATTAGAATATAATAAAATGTTGTTTAAATGGAAGCGACTCTTTTGTTTGTATCATTTTCAATCAAATCAAATAATGAAATATCAAGCCATAACCTTTAATACTACATCAACACAACCATGATTAAGCGAAAGCACTGTTACGACTAAAATGAAACTTAATTATCGAAAATATGAAACTAAGAAAAAAAGAACATTTCAGATTTAAATAATATCTCTATGTGTGTGTATAAAAATTCATTCATAATTCATTTATGTTCATTTTAGAGATTTTTTTTTGAAGATTTTTTTTATACATTTAATTTTTATTAAATTTGCTTTCTCTGCTGAAACCACCTATTGAGAATATTCTCTCTATATCTGCATTTAACCACTTTCTTGCCTTAATACTCTGACTTATAGAAATTTGTGTTTTTAAACTGAACACAACTTTGGGGAAAAATTATTTTAAGACAATGGTTGGCAGCAATAACTTTATTTCAAAAGTTTTCAACGTTCAAAGAATTCTTAGTTTCAAAAGTTTTTTATCAGTATTGATTTTATGGAGTCGTTTTTCATGTACATCTCGATTCCGTCCACATAGAAAAAAATTCTTTGAATTTTGGGAATTCCTCAATGTAGTCATTGAAATCTGCTTTTAATTTTTAGTCATATGTGGTCCCTCGAGAACATCCTTCAAAGTTCCACTGTTGCCGTGTTGTTTATTGACCGTTACCTGGGAGACCATAAAAATGTCTGCATTTAAGGGATGGTATCCGATATCTGTCGTATTCATTTTTCCATAAGTGCATCCCCTTTCCAAAAATATAGTACCATCTGTAGGAATTCGTGCAAGTGTTTAATGCAAAGAGGATAACAAATACGTTGGTTACTATGATTTAATGGCTGAGTAACCGTGATAAATAATGATATTGCAAGTATGTCGTTTTGGAGAAATTAAAAAGTAACGAACGAGAAAATTTTGTATTAAAATAACTACAATCCCGAAGGCGGGAAAAAAATAATAACCTTTTAAATTGAAGCCTACCATTATAGCACATTCTCTGCAGCATCTCAGCGGTGAGGTTTTGAAGCATTTATTTGGGATTGGCTCGTCGACGTTGGCCAATTTATAACAGGATCCACATTGCGTCTTAGCACATCTGGAACTCCTCCAATATTTCATGACTTTGTTGTAAGCAATTTTCTCGTGGGTGGTTAAACTTGTTACGTCAAACATCTTATCTGGAGTTCTGCAGTTGCTTCTATCTTTGTTTTTAACCAGACCCAAGCGAAATCCTAAATCGGGTATACCGGATACACTTGCATATGATCTTGAATATGGCAATTTTGTTTCAGAGCAGCTTCTATGCAGTCTGATTTCTTGCACTGTTAAAAAACGGAAAAAAACATTTGATTGTAGTGTAACAATTTAAACAAAAATACAGAAAACATTTAACGTGTCTGAAATTAGTCTATGCCAACAGGTTGTAATTGTTTTTTTAATTTATTATTCTATATATTTGAAAATGAAGAAAAAAATACTTCATACGATCTCGCGTGAAATACAGGTTGGCTTCACACGATTCACACGACACGGTGTTATTGACGACTTTGAAACAGCTTTCAGGGAATGCTTCGCCGAATTTGAAAAAATTCATACAGACTCCGCAAGTTATTTTCCCAGCTACCAAAACATTCACTAATAACAATAATTTGAATGTAATTAATTTGCACTCTTTCTATCTTAATATTTTTTACTATACTTCGAAAAAAACAAAGTCTGACAGAAACAAAAACTTTTAGGTATGTATAAATAAACTCAATGAAATCTTTTTAAAATAACCACAAGATGTATTTTATTAGATTCGTTTTCAGTTAACAAGTTTTCATTATCTAAATGATTCATCGTCATTAAACACCAAATTGTAACTAAGAAATGAAATAGCAATGAGTGTGTGTTAATGTGTGTGTTTGTGTGTGTATGTGTGTGTGTGTGTGTGTGGTGTGTGTGTGTGTAATGAAAATAAAAAACAACTAAAGAATTTGAGACCTAAAAACTCCAGTTTCCTGTACAACTGACTAACTGATTATATAACATTATAACTTGTTGAAAAATGTTAAATTAGGTGAATAAAAATTCTCAAAAATAAAACAAAGAACATTTGAATAGCTCATAAAAATAAGACAGATGCAGACTGAATAATTTAAATTTTTATTAGAAATGAGGTTGTAGTATCACCAACGAAAAAATGTTCCTAAGTTAATGTCTTATCTGTTTTTTTTTCAGATAAAAATTCATTCAACAAAACTTACAGTTAAAGACAAGACGACAATCATGTACTTGAATGGCAACATCTTGCCTGCTTATGCTCCAACTGAAAAATTCATGATCAATTAATTTACAAAAAATATTTTAGATTATAAATTTGTTTTATAAAGAAATAAATTAATAAAAATCAGCAAGCTGACAAAATTTAAATATGTAAGAATAGTAAGTTGTTTGAATGTTTGTTTACCTGTTGAATATAGCGTCTGAATCACACTTTTCAACTTTTTTTACGTCAGAATGAAAAGAGTTCTTGTTATAAACCTATTTGTATCCTTATTGAAACAGTGGCTGTTTTTCCAACAAATTATTTACATATTTTCAAAAAATTATTTACTTTTTTTCAGCAAATTATTTGCATATGACTACATGATTGAAGTGAGGATAACATTAATGATTGTAGAGGCATATTATTTTTGACGGTGACGGTACAATGATCGGGATTCCGATTCGATTCCGATTCTGATTCTGTTTTCGGAATTGTATCGACATGCTTCCAATTTGGCTTATATCTTACGCTTACATGTCTAAAATTTATTCCGTCTTAAATCATTTCGTCTAATTTAACTTTAAAATTGAACATATTCAAATGTTTGCACATCTGAACATTGATTTGCACATGCAGCAGATTTTATTGGTATGAAAGTCCTAATAGCATTTATTAGATTATTATATCTAATGTGTATGTATGTGTGTGTGGTGTTTGTATATTTTATATTGCGTCTTGCGTCACTCAACTAAGCGTTGTTCAATATTTTTTCTTATTACAAATAATTGCTTTCATAAAACTGGTTTGTTTAAAAAACGGAGGAATTTAAAAGTTAAAAAAATATTGTTAACTGTGGTAAACTGTCGAGTGCCACTATGTTGAAGCAATCTCTGAACGTTAAGTTCAAAATGCATGTGATGTATTGAATTTTTTGAAATGAAGTTTGCAAGCTTAACACGTTTCTGATTTGAATTTATGAACCGTTTAAAATGAAATTTGCAAATGAAATAAACAAATTCTCACCTATCATCCTTCATAATTCATGTAATGAAATTTTCATTGAAATGTATTTTTAATTTAAAAATATATATTAAGTGCATATATTTCGAAGATTGCATGTCAAATATTTTTAACAGAAACGTTTTATTGTCTATCAATCAATCACGGAACCATCATTGTATTCAAGATTGATGCTAATGGAAAACTGAAAAATTTGATCTTAAAAACCTGTCAGAAAACTCCATTAGCAAAAATTAGAGTACATCGAGAAATTTTCAGTCTGACAAATATTGACGTTCTGTCAAAAATTATCTTCAGGGTAATTTTAACTTTAGATTGCACGGACATGTATATGGTTTTCAATTATAAGCATGTATGAACATGAATTTTTAGACTTATTTAAGTGAAATTTAGCTAGAAAAAATCTTAATCTTTCTCAAAAACGTTAATATGACTCATAACTGTTATATCATATTCATTTAAAAAATATCAAATTTATTTATAAAACGGTTTAGAATATTTATTATTAAAAAATCCAACAATTAATCTTTAATAAATCACACATTTTTTAAAAACAGCTGTTGGCAAGTTAGCAAAGATTATGAAATTTATCACTATATTAACAATATCTCTTGTTTTCAAGCAGGGTAGGTGTTCTTTGAAAAGTTTTGAGACTAAATGAATTTTTAAAGAAGTAAATAAATTTATAATAGATTGCCTTTAACATATTATATTATATTACATTACATTACATTACAAGAATTCAATCCTTGAAATAGGAAACATTTAGATACAGAATAAAATATACTTGTATAGGCCACCGTGTTTATAAAATCCAACATAAGAATACAATTATAGGGCGTTTGTTTAATTAATTTCATAAATAATCTGGTAAACTTAACTTTTTTTAAAAATAACTTTCAGTTCTGAATTTGGAAAAAAAATTTAAACATTTTACAACTATTGAAAATCTCTTTTCAGTTTCTTCCTTAAAAAACGTTCTTCTGACAAAACCAACAACAGAAAGTTTTTCATTCTATATTGATACTTATCAAATTTGGTGCACAGGCTCATTGGCTGTGGATGGGTATCCCAATCCAAATGTTTATGATAGTCATTGTTTTCATGTAGCTAACGAACCACTAGCTGATTATTGGCTGCTGGTGGATATGATTATGCCATACAAGATTGACTATGTTGTTGTTTGGGGTAGAGATGATTACGGTCAGTTGCTCGTTTGCTTACCAAAGATTGTGAATGATAATCAACCGTTCAATTGATGTTCAATTTTTGTCTCTTGATGAACCTTAATGAATAACTCCTGTGTAAGAATTTAACGGTAATTAATATTCACAAATATTTTTCCCTCGCCAGTTCAACGTTTGGATTATTTCATCATCGGATTGACAAACGTCAACTACTTCAACCTTCCCACCAACCAGACCATCAGAGGCAAGTTTCCTCTCTGCGGTGTATACCCCTACAAAGCTCAGCCCAGTTTTGGAAATCGTGTCAACTGCAGCTCCAACCTGCCTGCTTCCAGGTACATCATCGCTCAACAAACTCCGTTAGCGGAATTTGGATTCTGTATCTGTGAAATTGAAGCTTATGCGATCCAAGGTGGCCATTCGAACATTATTCTCTTTGTTTATCACTATTTACAATTTTTAAAAAGTAAATTTATATTATTTTATTCAGTTGCCAAAATTTTTACAAAATTTTTAATTTTAGAAAATCTGTGGAGACGCAAAAGCGGATTGAAACTGAGTGGTCTGATCTTGTTGACAGCCAGTTCGAAGTCTGTGTATCAATGTATACTGATGTGCCAACAACTCACTGATTGCTCATCCATAAACTTTGAAATTGAATCTAAAATCTGTGAGTTCAACGAGGGAACTGTTGAAAATGTCAAAAACATTGAAAAGAATCCACTCTACGATTATTGGCAATCAGTGTGAATTGGATGTTTGCTATAAGTTGCATCAATAATTACTGATTGAGTTAGCAAGATAATGCTTACTTACTGTAAACGCTATTTTCATGCATATATTCTTTACATTAGAACATGCAGCTTCTTTAGTTTTTCTTTTATAAGCACAAATATTACAATAAAAACCTGTTTCTATTTTAAAAAATTTACGTTAATAAAGTAGCAATTGTTCAAAGCTCATTTATTTTATTGTTTTTTAATTTTCAAAAATCACACTAACAACATAGAAACGAAACGTGCTAATTCTATCGCTTGATCAAATTAGCCATGGCCAATGGCCAATGCAAGAGATATTTGAAGTGCGATATATAGTGCTCGTAAGCCATAAAATAGTATAGTGTAACCAAAATTTTATAGTACAACTTATTGAGCTAGAGCAAGAATGATAATGATGAACTATCAGCAAATAGTGGAATTGAAAAATAATTTGTTTGTAGTGCTTGCAAGTTTAGTAACTATAACAAATCTGGCCTCGACAAAAAAAAATAAATTGAATAAAAAACAAAAACATCCAACAAAAAATGTAAATATTTATTGTCCTTAAATCATGCCGTGAGATATTGTTTCTAAGACAAAGCATATTCCAATGTCGAAGTCCTTTTAATTGTACAATCGTACGACATTTATAATCCTCTGATAGTTTGCCATTATTATCTAGAGCTGACACATTAAATGGCAGATTGCGTGATGATAAAGCGTTAAATTCCAACAAAATAATGAGAATATCTTTTTTGTCTTGTTTTCCATTAAGAAACAATTTGATGAATACTAACTAATTAATTAAACATAGTGAGAAACAAATTTATAAAGTAGATAAACAAATAATTAAGTGATTAAATACATTAATTGTACATAATTGTGTGTTAAAGTACAATTATTTTTCGATAAAAACTATAAGAGATGCCGTATCAATATTTTGTTACTTATTTTTGCAAATATATTTGAAAAAAAAACTGTTTTGAGAAACCCATAAAAAATACAAACATAAAAAAATTTGTGAAAATAGGTAAAATCAATTAAGAGCTGCAATAATGTCATGTTTGAGGGAGATTACGATTGTCCAAACAATAAATCCTGATCAATATCGTCTCCAATGTTGAACGTTTGTATAAGTTTGCACTAGTCAGATTGTGTGTGTGTGTGTTTGTGTGTGTGTGTGTGTGTGTGTGTGTGTGTGTGTGTGTGTGTGTGTGTGTGTGTGTGTGTGTGTGTGTGTGTGTGTGTAACGTTAATTTAAATATACCCTATTCCATCCCATTCTTACGGTTAGCAAAATGAAGTTACCAATGATCATTTTTGTGAACTTCAACTTTTATTTCAGTAAGTTTTTTTACTCAAAGGTTGTCACGCTTCAACGAGGGAGTTCAAATATTTGTGAAACTTTGTGACGAAGGATAGGATGGGGGTTAACGCAAGTGTGACGTCCCTTTTTTAAATAAACAAAACAATGCCCCTTCCAGTTCAAATTAGTCCAAATAAATAGTGAAGGCCTACAAATGCAGTACATTGATGAAACTACTAGCAATTTTCCAAAACTATTTGTTAGTCTTATGTTGAAAAATAAAATAGCCCTTCCAAACAGCTTGTTCCAGTTTTCACAGCTCTCATATGATGCATTTTGCCTTTCTGTTCAAGATTCTTTTAAAAACCGCATCTGCAAAATATGTAGATTATATAATGCTTCAATTTTGATGGCAAAAAGGTATCATGCTATTCCCAATTCATATTTATTTCAGCATAATAAAGTTAGATAAGTCAGAGTTGCTGTTAGACGCCAGAGGGAACTTATGGCAGTAAATGTATTTGAAGAAAACGAAGATGTTGAATGTTGATGTTGATGTTTAATGACTGAATGAAGATGACATGGACACTACCAACATAGAGTTATCGAATATACCAAAAAAAGAAATCCCATGTATTCCGTTGGTTTCAGTTTCATAGCATCTGACCAACCTTTGGGAGGAAAACTATTCGTGATTTTTCATATTAATTCGTCATACTTTAACTACAGTAAAGCATTAAGATTTAAAACTATCTTCATATAAACTTGTCATTTGTTATTTTGATATCAATAAAAAATAAAATGCATAGAACAATTACATTGTTCGATGAGTTTTTACTAAGAGTAAGAGTGGAGAGGTAAAGTTTTGTGACACTGGGGAGGGGTGGGTCAAAAAAACGTCCAAAAAGCGTGACATCCCTTGTGGGTAGCCCCAAACACAGAAGTTAATTTTACGAGTCTACTTGTTTAGCTAGTTGTTTCAACGTGAACTTTTTTTACTCATCCATATATTGCTCTTTATAAAATGAACAATGGCATGAAAAAATTTTAACAAAAGTCATATGGAATAAATTAACAAAGACAAATTTTGCTGTATTCATGTCAATTTAAACAATGACTTGCATGATGAACGTTCATTAATGTTATTTATACATTAAAACAAATATATATATATATATATATATATATATATATATATATATGTGTGTGTGTGTGTGTGTGTGTGTGTGTGTGTGTGTGTGTGTGTGTGTGTGTGTGTGTGTGTGTATGAGCTTTTTGATTATGTGTGTGTGTGTGTTTGTGTATGTGTATGTGTGTGTTGGAAAGAGACAAGAGACCATGTTTTCTACGGTATTGTATGAATTCTACCGAATTATTGGCATTCATCGATTTAAACTTTTTCTTTTTAATTTTCCCTATACAGGGGCGGACTAAGGCCTAGGCTGACTAGGCAATTGCCTAGGGCCCGTAATTTTTGGGAGCCCGGAAATTCGATTTTAACTTTTTTTTAATTTTTATAATTATATTTTTATGTTTTTTTTTGGTTTTAATAGAAATGCTAAACATTAACATTGAACAAATATCAAATTCTAAATTTAACAAGAAAGCGCAATGAAACCATTTTGAAAAATTGGCAAAAATGAATATCGAATATTTTTAAAATTGCTCTGCAAAATATTTTTTGGATTCATTTTCTGGAATTCCTACAAAAAAATGTGAGTTTTTATAAAAGTATTAAATTATTCACTTTTCAATTTTTATAATTAAATGCTCATTGGTTCTTTGTTGCTGGAAGAAATAATGAACATTGAACTAATTTCTTGTCATAAATTTGAAAAAAGCCCGTTTTCTGCCATTTTGAAAAATCGTCAAAGTTAAATATCGGTCATTTGTCAATAGATTTTGATTTGTTTAGTTTTTAGTTTTTGATTGATAGTTAATAATTTTTGGAATTCGTTAATTTAAAATGTGAGTTTTGTGGAAATATTACATTACATTATTCAATTGATACTGATATCTGAAGATTACTCACAAGAAGGGCTTTATAAATCAGTAATACTACAAATTGTGATTTTATTATAATTGAGTGAAAATAATGTTAATTGATTTTTTTATTTTTAGTACGTGGTCTTTAATTTATAATGAGTTCCTATAAGCATTTAAGTGGAAGTAAAAAAAAGAAAACGAAAAGCAGATGAAAGGATTGTTAAACAAATTTTTAATTGTGGAGGACGAAAAATCACAACAATCATCATCATTTTCACAAATTTTACCTGCTCAAACTCCAGAAGCATCACACGAATGTGAATCTTTTCAGCAGAAATATCAGCGGGAAAAACTGAGTAATTCCGATTGTGAAGATGAAGCAAAAGAAGATATATATATATTAAATCATCTGAAAGTAATGATGAAACTAAGAGTTTTGTAAACGACATTGCTTAATGGCCAGAATACCTAACAGACGCCATGCTAGAGTATTATGTCAAAAATCCACCAAAATCGATAAATGGATCTCTAGAATCATCTTCCATTACTAGGCGTATTGATACTGAATTGGAAAAACAAATTATGAATGAAAAAAAATACTGGAGGGAGGTACTTAAACGTGTGGTAGCAACAATCAAATTTATTTCTTCATACTCTTTGGCATTTCGTGGTAAAAATGAAGTTCTTTTTAGTGAAAATAATGGTAAATATATAGGTGCTTTAGAATATTTATCCGAGTTTGATCCATTTTTGCGTGAACACATGAGAAGATATACAAATTGCGGCACCGGAACTATAAGTTATTTGTCATCTACCATATGAGATGAATTTATTTTGATTATATCGAAAGATTTGCAACTCACGATACTGAACGAAATAAAGGAAGCTAAATTTTATTCTCTAATTATTGATTCAACCGCTGATGTATCTCATGTAGATCAGCTTACAGTTATTATTCGGTACGTTCTTCCAAGTGGTATAAAAGAAAGATTTTTGGGATTTCTACCTATATTTTCTCATACTGGTGATAACTTGGAAAAAGTTATTTTAGAATTTTTAAATAGCATTGATTTAGACATCACTAATTGTCGAGGACAAAGTTATGATAACGCATTCAATATGTCAGGTAAATATAAGTGACTCCAATCCAGAATAAAACAACATATTTTTTCTGCTCATTTCATACCATGCTCAAATCATTCATTAAATTTAATTGGAAATGCTGCTGCCGAAAGTTGCATGGAAATAACCACTTTTTTCAATATCGTTCAAGAATTGTACGTATTTTTTTCAAGTTCTACACATAGGTGGAATGAATTAAAAAAATTTTGTAAGACCAAGCACTTGAATATTAAACCTGTTTGTGACACCAGATAGTCAGCTCGTTCCGATGCTGTAAAAGCCTTGAAGGAAAATTATGACGAAATTAAACATTGTTTACGCCATTTTTCCTCAAACAATGATGAGAAACCATTAACAAGATCAGAAGCTGCCGATTTATACAAAAAACTTGATACATTTGAGTATGTACTGTTACTTACTATATGGGAAAAATTTTTAGAAAGAATAGATGCTTCAAACAAGACTCTTCAGCAAAAAGACGAATCCTTAAATACAGCAGTTCTAATTTATGATTCGCTAATAGATTTCATACAAACTGTTAGAGACGATTTTGATCATTTAGAAAAAGATCCACGTTGGGCCAACAAAAATTAAATAGCTTATCATTACTTTATATAGAAAAAGAATTGTTGAATAATTCTATTAACTATGACAAACTAATTGACGAGTTTGCAGAACTGAAAGTGAGAAAAAAGGCAATTATATAGATATATCAGTCTTGGTGTATTTATATTACTGTTTTAATAAATTACGTTTATGTTTGTTTTTTTTAATAAATGATGTTTCTTTAATTTGTGTACATTTTTTAAAAATTTTGGTGACTGATTTACATACCATATTCATTAAAACCAAACTATCGAACGTAAAGTATTTGTCATTACTGAAAAATAGGCCCGGAATTCCAATGTTGCCTAGGGCCCGCTTTAGGCTTAGTCCGCCACTGTCCCTATATATATATATATTTGGACTAACCATATATAGAGTTAAATAATTGAATTAAGTTACTAGGTTAATGCGGGATAAATAAGTAAGGATTGTTGTTGGTTGTTGTTGATATCATTATTTTTGACTGTTCATTATTGTTGGATACTCTATAAAAAATAAAAGTGCAAAGTAATATTTTCAAGTATGTATGTGGCGGATCTAGTAAAATTGACGGGCGGGAGCAAAGTTGAACAAGGATGGCAAGAAACTGAAAAAAGAAAGCGACTATTTTATATTTATTTTGTATATTCGTTTTTTATTTTCTATAAATTTCAAATTTAAAACTAAGTTTTTGTTTATGAAAAACTGTTTTAGTGCGTAGTAAGTAATTAAACTCTATACGATGGCTAAATTTTATAAAATTACAACAACTTGGTTGTCAGCTTTTGGAAATAAACAAAGCAATTTCCACCCGGCCCCTCAAAATCCGCCACTGACGGTCGTTTGCGTCGTTAATATCAACAATCTAGATTGGCATATCAGATAGGGAGCATTTTTCCAGTTAAATGTTTAGCTATATAGCACTATTGTATATAAGGTAGATAGCATTCGTCTAGGTAATTGTTTATATATAACTATATTGAAATTTTATATATATATATATATATATATATATATATATATATATATGCGTGTGTGTATTTGTATGTGTGTGAGTGCGTGTGTTTTTGTATGTGTGTGTTTTTGTGTTGTTTGTGTTTGTGTGTAAGAAAAGAGAGAAATAAGAAATATAGAAAAAAATATACATATACATAAATATAGTATATATACTAAGGGTTTTATAGCATGTTTCCGGTTGTCAAATACACATTACTCCGCTAAAAGTTTAAAGCAAAGACACAGTCTTTCGCAAGAATGTGGATTTTGAAGTATCCAATGAAAAGAACATATCAAATTATCTTCGTTATAATGGCACTTCATTATTGTAAGTCATTTATTCTCCATTTTGATATTTTGAAAATTTTTGTAACATTCATAATTAAATACGACATAAATAGATGATAGATTTTAAATTAAAATGGTGCTATATAAATATTAAATGCTTATAAAATCTGCGATTGATGATTTTAAATAACATACAAAAAAAAATATTTTTTATAAATTTAAGAAAAAAAATAGAAATAAATTTATGTTTTAAATTATGGATAAATAATAAAAATTGTGCTATAAAGTTTTATTATGTTTATTTCAAGGTTTTTCTCAAAGAAATGTTTTAAAGTTTAAACCATACGCGCGAAGTTCCAGCTTAGATCCAGCTTCATATGCAGTGGACGGTGACACAAATCCGTTAAAATATTTCCACGTTGACTTCGAACCTTTGAGGGAATATTGGTTGATAGTGGACATGATCATGTCGTACAAGATTGAATACGTCGTTCTCTGGAGCAGGCTTGGTCCCACTTATAGTTAGATCAAATTTTCAGTATAAAATTTATTAGAATAATCAAAATTTGTTCTTCAAATGGAAAATAAAATTGATGATAAAATTTACGAAACATAAAATTGATGATGACAACAGCTGCACGCAACGATTACTTCATCATCGGACTGACCAACGTCAACTACTTTAATCTCTCGACCGGCGAAACCATCAGAGGGAGGTTTCCCCTATGCGGTCAGTACCTAACGACCACCAAGTCAGCTGCACCACACCGACTCAACTGCACTTCCAAGGTACCGCCCTACAGATACGTCATCGCTCAACAAAAATTGGGACAACCTTTTGGATTCGCTGTTGCTGAACTTGAAGCTTTTCCACTGAATGGCATGTTTTTTTTTAGTTTTCAGTTGTGGGTTGTTTAATTTGTTTTATAGAGATATTTTTTGTTACTTTTGAATTTCAGAAAATCTTTGGCGTCTGTTGAATGGGATGAAATTGAACGGATTAGAAGTTCTTTCGAAAGAAACCAAGAGTGTTCTCGGCTGTGTGACATCCTGCTTGCAGCTTGTCGGCTGTTTCTCTGTTAATTTCAATAAAGCAACGAATGTGTGCCAACTCAATAATGGAACTGTTGAAAACGTTGACAAAATTGAAAAAAATTCAATGTATGATTTTTGGCAACTAGTTTAGATTTTGTAAAAGCTGGCAGAATAAAATCAAATTTGTACTATTTTTAGCTTGTTGAATGTAATTGCCAAAATTACAAATTTAAACTCTATATTCGAAACATTTTAGATGCAATGATACTTTTTTCAAACATTTGTTGACTAGCCAGTTTCATGGCTTTTGCATTTTTTTGTAGCCTAACAGTTTTGAACAATTTTGATATATTTTGCATTTGAAGGTTATTCAAAATTTCATTTTTAGTTTTTTTTTTCTATAATTTTGTCACTGCAGCAAATGCCGCGTTATGAAATGTGAAACAAATTGTACTTGTTTATAAAATAAAAGAATTGAATATTCATATTTCACTTTAATACTTCATAAACTTATGAATAAACATGGTGATTGAGATTGAAAAACATTCACCCAGTCTGACTTTTTCTTTCTCGGGATAAATAAAAAATAACATGTACAGTACAAACATAATAAAGTTATAAAAATTTAAATGCAAATTAAACAAAGTTCAACATTTTTTGCTAATATGGAATTTAAAATTTAAGTAATTAGACATCTAGACGGCGAACGAAGGGACATTAACTGATTTTACATCATTGTTATTTTAAAAGAACAATAGCAGGAAATTTTTTACTAAAAGCCATATGACGTAAATTTAAATTTACAATGAATTTTTTTTATTCCAATCGTCAATGTATGAATACATGTATAGTGTAATGTAAACAATTCTCTTTATGCTGGAAGTTTATCAGTGTTTTACAACACATTACAATACATACATGCATACATGCATTCATGCATGCATACACACATACATATATATGTTTCTCATCTGGGCCATCATGGCCTATCATCTAGGTTAGGTTCAAGAAGACAAGCAAGACATTCTGCCACGAATGATTACATATGTAGATTGTTCCAGAAAGTAGATATACCTGTCACTAAAGAACCAGCAGGTTTACTATCTGAAGGTAATCAAAAGCCAAACAGTTACACCCTGGTGCCCTGGTTCCAAGGTTGCTGTTTATCCTGTTCCTTCAAACGATGGCCAAGAGGTACAACAATTACTCATCTATGGAGCCAGGTTCTGCTGCGGAGAAAACTGCCGATTTTAAGAACGATAAGTACGAGAATCTCAATGACATTTACTTGTCTATTCTTTTTAATTTTTCCTCTTTTGGTAATATAAAATCACAAATATGATGTGTAAAATGAGCTGCGTTAACAACCAATAGGTAAGCTAGGGATTGAGTTAGTTGAACGTAGGTATGTGAGATCTGAGTTAGTTGAATATAGGCTGGAATTAAATTAAAATATAGAAAAAAATAATTGACAACAAGTAGGTAACTTTGATTCGTAAAATAATTCTCCCCCGGGTCGAAAAATTTGCTATTTAAATACATATGCGGCCTTTCAAAAGTAAAGTAGTTCAAATTTTTATGTAGTCTTTTGAAGGGCCACATAAGTATTTGAATAGCAAATATTTCGGGCGTTTTTTATGGTCGTAATGTGATTTTTTTTGGTCGAACAAGGCCGCGGGCCGTAATCTGCCAATCTGTGATCTAAAGAAAGATATTTTTGCCTGTGACAGTCCTGTTAGTGGCACAAATTTTGGTCGGTGGGTCTGGGTATATACAATGTATAATAAAAATTGAATTAAAATCAATATAAATTTTGTTGAATGCAATTTATTTGAAATAAATTTAACTTGAAACTTCCTTAATGGATGTTTTCAATTTATCCTCTAATGGTATGCTTTTATTGATAAATTTGACTGTGTGTGTGGTGTGTGTGTGAGTGTGGTGTGTTTGTGGGGTGAAATTTATTTTTTGATAAAAAAATATCATTTGAATTGAAATATTTTCTTTGAATAAACCACTTAATTTGAAAGCTTTAATTATTTTTGAAATTAAATTTTGAAAAAAATTGGAATTAATTTGTAATCTAAAAACTAATGTTCCCATCCTTTTGTTTGACTAATAGAAACAGGTAATTTTCACTTAACATAGACTATTGAAATTGTTGTGTATAAATTTGCCAACATTCGGATTGAAACAATTGTATATAAGATATAGATATTGAGGATTGACAACCACAGTTGATGATTCGCAAAATGCTGCTCTGCACAATCAGTTTGAATTTTCTGTTTCTTCATCATAGTGGGTAATCGTAATTTTTACCAAAGTGAAATCAACAAATTTATATTATTATATATTTGTCATTTTTACTCTTATCGATCCCACTGAAAAACATTATTTCAGTGGTCTATTCATTAAAGAACGTTTTGTTGCACAAGCCAACCACACAAAGTTCAGCTTACTACATGAGTGGCAGACACTACGATGGCTCGCTGGCTGTCGACGGAGATAGAAGTTCTGACTTTAGTTTGAACCACTGTTTCCACACAGCTGACGATGAAATTCTTAAGGATTTCTGGATGATGGTTGACATGATCATACCATATAAGATCGAGTATGTCGTTCTCTGGACTAGAAGTGGTCCTACTTATAGTAAGCTTCTGCTAGTCACATAAAAATTTGTTTGATTAACTTCAAAATTATTTTTTTTTATTTTGATAAATTTTCCAGCTCCGCGAATGGATTATTTCATCATAGGACTGACAAATGTCAACTACTTTAATCTATCTGTCAACCAGACGATCAGAGGAAAGTATCCTCTTTGCGGTCAGTACCCTTACAACTCCCAGGAAAGTTTCGGCCATCGTGTGAACTGCAGTGCCAACGTGCCGGCCTACAGATATGTTATCGCACAGCAATCTCCTACAGCTGCACTCGGGTTTTGCATCTGTGAACTTGAAGCTTTTGTGATTAAATGTACGTTTTATTGATTATTATGTTACGTTTCAACTTCTCTTCAAATTATTTTAGTTAATTACAATTTTCATTTTACTAAGTACATGATCGTTAAAAATTTAGATCCAGAAAACATTTGGAAACATAGAGAAGGTATGAGATTGAATGGTTTGTCGTTGCATACGATGAAAGGAAGGTCGGCCCATCAATGTATCATCGCCTGCATTCATTTTGCTGGTTGCACCTCTGTAAATTTCGATCGGAATTTGAGAATGTGTGATCTCAACAGTGGAACCGTTGAAAATGTCACCAACATTGTTGCCGATCAGTCTTTTGATTACTGGCAGTACGTGTGATTTAAACACAAGGTCTACATTCTAAGTTTTTGCTACAAGAATAATCACTTTTAGATATAAAAAAATATATTTTCAAGCAAACCTTTTTTCCATTTGAAATTTCGATGATAAAAATGCTAGTAACTCTCAAGTAATTTTCATTCGAATAGTTAAAATGACATTCCTTTAGAGAATGTATATTATATTCATAGCGAAGTATATAAACTGTTTTAAACTAACTTAAATTAACGATTTTTTTCTAAAATTTTCTTATATTAGTGTGACCAGCGCTTACTTTGATAGTACTGCACAGCGTTAATTGTCTGCTTCTATATTAGCTTTGTTGAATTTGTGCTAAATTGAATATTTTTTCTTCATAGTTTAACGATGTTTTTGGAATACTAATAAAATTCAAACTATACTCGTTAAAGTAACTCTTGAATTTTTATTCTAAAATATGGAAAAAAATCATAAAGTAGCATCTTGATAAATGTAGCTATAGTTATTTATTTGAAGCGATATTGAATTTTTTGAGATAAACACTCGGATATAAATATGTTAATGTTCATATACCAATTTCTTAACTAATAAAAAAATGACTGAACACGTATTGATATTGTTAAGCTTAGCCTTGTGAAACTACATTGAATTTTATTCATACAACACAATTTTTTTTACTGCCTATTATGAAACTGTATTTAATAATTATTTTAGAAATATTTATGTAAAATCGTGTGAAATTGACGTGATCAGTAACATGACAGTTAATAATTAATTACTCACCTAAGATTAAATGTATGTGATTTACTAAGCCTACTGAGAATTCTGGTAGTAATTAGAAAAAAAACAGTTAATAACCGCTGAGATAATTCTGTTTACATAGTAATTTGCTGCTAGTAAGTATAGATACATCCATTATTCATGCAATGCTACTGATAACAAATAATTAATTATAGAATTAAATGATATATGTTTCCAGTAGATCCTACTTCGTTTTACTATAAACTTAGTACATTTTAGTGTGCGGAATCTTGTGATGAATACTAATTTTATTTGATTTTACTTTTACAAATGCTACTAAATTTTATTTAAACTTTAACTTTAAAAATATATTATTTTCACTGAAATCTCTCAGTAAGTTATGAAAAATTTGAAAAATGGGGAATCATTGTCAAGAACTAACGGAATCATTAAGATTTATATTTTGGCTTCTCGATGTTTGGTTCAAAGATGTGCCCAAATGTTGGTGGATGATGATGATCATAGTTCTCTTTTCGCTGCTCATCATCTTGCTCTTGACCTTCTGTATTTGTGGGTTAGTGCTTCAATTTGTGTCTGACTTTTATTTTATTTTATTTTTAACTTTTTTATTTTTTATATTTTTTTTTTATTTTTAATATTTATAATCCCGTTTTATTTATTATATTTATAATTTTTTGTTTTTTTTCCTATTCCAGTTTCTGTAATTTATTTTTACACTGACTAGATGTTATTTGTGTGTGTCATTTGTCAGATACATTTTTTTATAACAAATTTTTGTTGAAATGTGTGACAAATCGTAACTCTTTGATAATTGAATTGATTGGAAATCCGTACGACGCCTACGTCCAAATTAAATGTGTATGAATGGGAACTGTGGTTTTCAATTGTCTAAAAGAATAAGCAAAAGAAAGATAATAGAGAAAAATGATAAAATGAGAGAGAAAAAGAGAGAGAAAGAGAGAGAGAGAGAGAGAGAGAGAAAACACTGCGGAAAAAGAGAGACAAAGAGAGAACAGAAACAACAAGAGAGATAGAAATAAAGAGAGATAGATATAACGACAGCAAGATAGTGAGAGAGAGAGAAAGATAGTAGAGCGAGAAACTGGCAGACTGAGAGTCAGAAAAGCAGAGAAAAAAAGAAAATAAGACCTCTATTATTATTAGACAATCAAAAATAGTGGCCTTCAAATTAGAAAGACAGGAAAAGAAAGAAAAATAAAAAAAAGGGAACGAGGAACAGAAACAGAGATATTGAGACAATAAAAAACTCTGTTATCAGATAATTGCTTTCAAATAGGATGTATTTCAACTCACACGTAATGTAGCGTTATTATTATTATTATTAATATTATTATTATCTGAACATTTATATTGCGCTTTTTATAGCGCTCTCACAAATTCAAAGCACAATGTTAATGAAAACAGGACAGAAAATTGAAATAAAATCATGTTTATCAACAAAATGAATCATTTAAGTAATGTTTCTGATTTCATTCTTGACTTGGTTGCTGCTTGTCGATCACACGGGTTAATAATCAGTCTTGTTGAATGCCCAATCTTGGACCTTGACATACTCCGACGACGATCTATCGCTGGTTATCACATTCACATATTTGGCCTCTACACACAAATGAAAAGAAGTTGATGGGTGCGAATCTTCAGGCATGTTCTCCTTCATCCTCTTCTTGAAAGCAGGGCAACACGATAAAGCTTCAACATTGGCTGACGTAAGCATCACAATTAGCCATGCGTCATTTCTTTTAATATTATTTGTTGTAGAGAAATTTATTTATTGTTTTTTAAAGTAATTTTTTCATACAACTCTATTAACAGGAGATGCATTATTGACACGATCAACATCTCTTTTGGACGACGTCGACAAGTTAATTTTCAACAGTCGGCCGGACCTGGAATTCAGAAAATCTGAAAGATGTGAATAAATAACACAAATTTTCTCTATAATTAATTAATCAATTAATTGAATAATTATTTTAATTAAATATTAGCTTGAATCTATTTTTAATAAACAAATTAACAATTTAAATTTATCAAAAAATATATATCTACAATTGCGTCATTTGATATTTTTCCACTTGAATTAATAGAAACATACTTCGGTATTTTAACATTTACTGGACATACTTTTAGAAGATACTTTAATTTTATTTTTTGAAATTTTGTCGTATTGAAATTCTAATTTCCTGAAGTTAAAAATTTTCTCAAAATTAGCTTTATGATAGTTGTTAGCGTCAATATTCTTTCTTAGTTTTTCTTAGTTTCATTGTTTTCGTGCTTTAATTTCTAAGTTTATACTTTCGTACTAATTTAACAATTACACTCTATAACACACACACACACACACACACACACACACACACACACACACACACACACACACACACACACACACATAAATACTTGTCAATAACTTTTTAAGTTAGTTACACTTTTTAGGTTAGTTGAAATAACGTTTTGTGGGGGAGAAGAAAAGTTTTTTCTTATAGATTTGACGACTTTTGGCACATTTTTAGCCTAGCATTCCTCAATCTCTACCTCGAGGCCATTTTTAATAACAAATAATATTTTATTCACAAGTATTAGCTACTGTTAATAGAGCCTGTACTTGAATTCAATTTTATGAAAATCAGGAAAGGAATATTTTCAAACCAATAAGTTGTTTTGCGTCGCTTGTGTTATTCATAGCAAATTTTTCTATGGAAGATTATCGCAGTTTAATTTTTTAAGAATCTGGAAGTGACAATGAAATTGTAGAACACGACTCATCAAGGAAATTGTGTTTAAATTCATTTTTAAAACTACTTTGATGACAAAATTAGTACATCAATACCCGAAGCAATTACATCGCATCATATACACTGAAACTTGAAAGATAATTACTCATTTTTCAGAAACTACAAAGGTAATGAATCAAAGAGACATATATGTATTTTTATTCGTATTATAACTTATAGACCTTTATATCCTAACTATATCAAATTCAAATCTATATAAATGCAACTGTATATAACATAGATACAGTACTAATATGAACATAAATTATATAACAACTACATTTACATTAATATATACGAATTTATATATGGATATATAAAAACACAACACATACACGCACACACCAAACACACACACACACAAACACATATACATATATTTAATTAGAAAAGTTTTGTTCCAGTATAAAAGCTAGCAAACGAAAATGCGTTAATTTTCTTTGAGGATTTATTTGCCATATCGTCGAGCAGTGTTTAATTTAACAATGAAATAAAGTGATCTAAGAAAACTTTTACTGCTACTACTACTACTACTACTACTACTACTACTACTACTACTACTACTACTACTACTACTACATAATCATGTATACACGCCATTTCTAGCATTGATGTGTGATCAAATTATTTGAGGATAATTCGTAGTATTATATTACTAATGATTTTTAATGGAGTTGCCTGGAATTACGACTTATCTATATGACAAATTTTAATCATAATTATATATATTTAAATATATATACGTATAAATATATATATATATATATATATATATTAGGGTGGTTCAAAAATATTTTTTTTTAATATTTAAGTGCATACCCCCTATATTTTTTCCTTAGCTGAAAGTTAGCATGTGTGCAAAATTTCATTCAATTCTGACAATATTTAGAGGTTGCTCAATGACATTCAGTTTTTCACCATATTTAGCATATAAGCGAATATTGGTCAGTGCTACAATTTTGTGTTTAATGTTTATTTTGCAGTAAAATGAACAACATTCTTGTGAAAATCATGTAAGATTTAACAGTTCTACAAATTTATACTCAAAATAACAAAATATTCAACACTAAACAAACAGTTCTCACAAGGTAAAGGCAACTTGATTATGCCAAACGAAAGTTCAGTACTGTTAATCTTTGATTGAGAAACTGAAATTAACTTGAGGCAATTAATGTACTCAGTTTATGTTTTTCTGTTAATCACTCATAGTATGTCAGACTCAAAACATA